ATTGAATTTGAACTTTGTATAACGGTAATAAAGTGCAAATTGACTCTTTGACGTTAGGAACATATCTATATTGTTTAAACAACACTGAGTGCTTTATGCAATAGCTATAAAGCTCTAATTGACTCTACGTTGTAGTTAGAAAAGTTTGTATGGGAAAAAGAAAAGAGCTATTATTAGAGTTTTCCGGCTCGACGTAAAAACCATCCTTGAACTTCAACGAACATAAAAAAAGCCAAATTGGTCAAGGCGTTGTTGAGTTATGCGCTTACCAACAAATTTTGCGATTCATTTTTATATTATAGATTGTCTGAATATGATTTTTGTACATATTTTGATTAATGATTTTTTTCTTAATAAACATTTTATTTCCCATGAATCGATGGTTGCCTAATTTACGTCTCTGTTTAGGATGTTAAATTTCGTAACATAACATGTTAACAGGGGTTAAATGCGCATGTGACCGATGAACTCAATAACTGAATAAAAAAAATGCATGTCATTTTTAAGAGATATCCAGTCTTTGAAGTCTTTTGATTTCAAGGTAGTAATCCTCTGCACAGTAGAAATTCGAATCTAATTTTAAATGAAGGTTTGAAATAAAAAAAAGGTTGGGATATTGCAAATCAAGAATAGCATGATCCAAATACTACAGGTTGGTAATTAGTTACTTAAATGTCACGAATATTGCGCAGCAGACATTTTACAACTTAAATATGTATGTTTTAATTATAATTAACGTTTAAAGATCTAGACTATCCTACAGGCAAAAGCAACAGAATGGAGTAAACCCTCCCCATACTGATCACTTATAAACCTCCACAGATGTTGCACTGATAACGATTGTACTAAATTACTTCTTGAACAGCATTTACATTTTCAGAATTTGCTGAATGGCTTTGTTTTTGAGCATTCAAATACCTTCCACTTTGTGCAAGTAATCAATGAGTTCATGCCTCAAAGGAACTAAAACTCGCAAAATGGAAATATATGTATTGAGACGTTACCAGTGCTCACTCCCCTTTTGCGCTGAAATATTGCACACCTCGCGCGAACCTCGATGAACCACTGTCATAGAACTTCTTGTAATATATTCGGTAGTGGACACAGGTCTTTCTCGTTATACGCACTCGATAAAATTCGTGTTAGTCACTTCACAACAGGAGACATCTTATATTCTGCGAATCGCCCACGGCCCACTACACATCGCTCACTGAAAGTACCCGGAAACCATGATCTGTGAAAACATTAAATGTACGATAACCGAGGAATTGTAAGTGATACGCGAAAGCTGGGTGCATATTTGAAATCAGCACATTAAACTCTATTAAAAACACTAATTGGCTTTCTGGCGAAAAATACTGTGCAATGAAAGAGAAAAATTGGTTTGGAGAAAAAACAGTTGATAGGATTTGTTAATTTTAGAACTTTAAGTTGACATATCTAGGACGTGCCATGACCATCTTGAGAATCAGAAAGTTCATAACCTCAAACTTACGATGAACGATGGCGGGCGAGCCCCCTTGAAATTTCCTCTTTAGTTGAACAAAGTTCACTGATTAGTTTTCTACTAGTTAAAGATGAAAAAAAAGCTATTATACACTCTAGAATGACCAACGTGTATGATAAAAGTCTGGTCACATTCGAACCGCGGGTAGAATAGTTCAAAATTAATCCAGACTCGGTGACTGACGATCACTGTTCTGGCCGTATCAGCAAGAAAAGTCATGTTGGTGTGTTGGGTCGCTATAGGTAGGTTATTTTTATTATCTCGAAGAACATTGTACAATAAACAGCCAATACTACTCAGATATGCTTTTCAACAAGGTTAAGCCAGCAATGAGAGAGAGACGTCGAGGATTTTAAAGAAGTGTGATTCTCGAGCAACACAACGCATGTCCCTACACTGCTCAATAAACCCGTGAAACCATCAACAAAATGGGTTGGAGGTACAGCCCTTGCAGTCCCGAATAAGCACAATCTATTTTCCAATTGTTTGGTCTACTTAAGGAGGCATTGCGTGGGAGAAAGAAGGATGAGGATGTCAAAAAAATTTGGAAAATTGGTTCAAACACCAGGATAGAGTTCTTTGCAGTCATTATAAAAATACTGGTAATACGTTGGGCCTAGTGCATAAATGTTGATGGGGATATTGAAAAGTAGGAAAAGTCCTGTTGTACAAAAATAAACATTTATTCCTCCAGATCAATTTGTCTCTTTAATTATTGCATGTCCCTTGTATAATCGCATAAACATGTCATAATTATATACTAAGGAAAAGGCAATGGAGAAAATCAATAACAACTTACTTTATGCACATTTTTTACTTATTATTTTCATTGAATTTTCAGTAATCATGATTCCAACATTGGGGAGTGTATATCTATATCTGAACAATTCAACAAATTATACATGAAAAAATACTATATTAATAAATATATTTTTTTATATTGAAAGAATACGATTTAATCATAAAACTTATCCCAATTAAATTTTTTATTTATTTTTAAAGTCAATTTTCTCACCCGTAAGGATGAAATATAAAAACCCTTCTGCATTTCTGATATTTTATATTAGCTATTAAATGAAGGGAAATAAAATATTAGTTCCTTCAATTTAATGTGATGTTACATGCGACACTGGAGAGATCTTGGAACCAATCTCCAGAAGAATAAGACATAATTCTGAAGGTAATGCATTTTCATTATTTAAATTTTCAATTTAAATAAATTTCATACAATTAAATTCAATTGCAATAACTTCAAAAAAATCCTTACGAGGGTTTTGTATTTTAAATTACTGCTATTGTCTGCAATGACTGGAACAAGGATGCTTTAACAGATGATGCTGCTTAACTATTCCTAGTTTTAGATTTATTTTGCCAAATAAACAGCAACATGTACTATGTCACCACCAATAATTGAAAACAAAACATTTTTTCTCACAAGTACAACAAAACTTATGTACTTTGGTAAGCAAATTTGATTTTATTGTTTTGCTAACAAAAAAGCAACCCACCCCAGTTCTACTCCTACCACAATAGCAGGAGAATTCAACAGAATGTGCATGTAGTGAATTTACATATTGTCCTGAAGCAAAACAATGGGCCAGTTAGCAGGGAGGTTAGGAAATATCAACATTTTCATTAGTCGCATATCTAAATTTTAAATTACTTACAAAAGCTTATGAAACTTAATATAACAATGACATTGAATTTGTTGACTTAGGTTCATCACAATTTGCTCAAAATATAATATAAAAACTATAAGTAGTTCAATTTCAAAAAGGGGTGTTGAGCTCAATATCACATTAAAATACAAGTAATAAGAAAGTACATAATAATTCTATCTATTAACCCCATTTCCTCTTGTACTGCAACAAACCCGTATTGTAATACCTCCAACCCAACAAAAACCCTTTCTGTACAAACTACAGTAATTCCAAGTATATTACATATGTCTTTTGGCAACATACCAATAGGTTTATAAAATTTCAGTCGGATGCTTGTACAATTCAATCTTGTTTCTCAAGATTTGGTAGTGTTTATTATGCAACAAGAAGAAAACTGTTTAAAAAAAATCACTGTCCGTGTGCCACTTCTCTAGGGTTAAAAAATGTAACATTAAACTGGGAACAATATAATGAACAAAAATGGAGCCTTCTGTCCGTCATATGGTTTTCCTATTAACTTCATACTGCAACATGCCAGGCAAGATGACATTAAGACAAATGTACCTATATCTCACGTAAGAAAATTTGACAACCTTTTAGAAAAAAAAAAACTACGAAACCTATGCCTAGTGCCATTTTGGATTTTTATATATTCGTAATTTATACAGCCTATGCCACTCCCATTGGCATGAGGAATCAAAGCATATGCTACATAAGAAAATTAGACGAATCAGTCAGACAAGAGGCAGTATCAAATAAACCCAGATACACGATCATGAGGGGAAAAAAGGCTCCTTTATACTTCGCAAAGTCGGGTAAGAACAAGTGGCACTGCTACAGTGGTTATTTTTTCGTTGATGTTAGAAGCAACTGCGAACACCATTGAGCCCGGGCTGTTCCACACGCCTGTCAACAGGTTCGCTTCACGCGGGCAAATGCAGAGGCGCGTCATTAAGCTCCTCTTATTGGAATCGCTGCCAGGGCAAATGTCAAAACGCGCGTCTCTTCGGAGCAGAGCCTGCGCCCGTGAAACGCGAGTTTACTTGCCTGGCTAAACAAAATTCCGCACTCGTCGCGCACACACGCGTGGAGCCGATCTCACATGTGCATGCGCTTGTGACGGGCGAGGTCGCCCGAGTGAGCAAAAGCCTTCCCACACACATCGCACTGAAACGGGCGCTCTCCCGTGTGAGTGCGTACGTGAAGGGCGAGGGCGCTTGACTGATTGAAGGCCTTCCCGCACGTATCGCACGAATAGGGGCGCTCTCCCGTGTGGATGCGCATGTGAGCGGAGAGGTTGCGTGAGTCGCAGAAAGCCTTCCCGCACACGTCGCACGAAAAAGGGCGTTCTCCCGTGTGAGTGCGTATGTGAAGGGCGAGGGCGCTCGACCGAGTGAAGGCTTTCCCGCACACTTCGCACGGATACGGGCGTTCTCCCGTGTGCGTGCGCATGTGATGGGAGAGGTTGCCTGACTGAGTGAAGGCCATTCCGCACAAATCGCATTTGAAAGGCCGCTCTCCTGTGTGCATGCGTTTGTGACGGGTCAGTGTGCTGGAAAGCCTGTAAGCCTTCCCACACACGTCGCATGCATGCGGGCGCTCGCCGGTGTGTAATCGCTTGTGGGAGACGAGGGCATCAGAGCGAATGTACGAGTTCCCGCACACATCACACACGTAAGGGCGTTCTCCCGTGTGCATTCGTTTGTGAACGACGAGATTGCTCGAGTACGTAAAAGCCTTTCCACACACGTCGCATACGTATGAGCGCTCTCCCGCGTGCGTGCACATGTGAGAGGCGAGGTCGTTCGATTGAGCGAAGGTCTTCCCGCACACTGCGCAGGGGAACGGTCGCTCTCCCGTGCGCTTGCGGGTCTGCCAGGCCAGGCCGCCGGGCAGGCCGAAAGCCTCTCCAGTGGCAGGCACCTGCTGCTCCGAAGGGGCGGGGAACGCGTTGGGCTCGGGCAGCTTCGGACGCGTGGGGAAGGAGTTGTTGCTCTCGTGCGGTAGCAGCAGCCTTTGTCCCCTTCCTCGCTCCGTCGCCTCGTCTTCATCAGGTAGGATATACTCTGCGCCTGTAAAACAAACACACGTGACTTAGAAACTCATCTCTCCTCACTATTTCAATGCATTCGGCGTAATATCGGCAGCTAAAAAAACACAAGTTTTTAGAAAGGGGGAGGGCACGTTTAAGCAGAGAATGTTTTTTATCTACTGAAATAATTTGTACGCCTTCTCTGTTCTTCTATTGGATAAAAACAAGAAAACTCGCGTAACACACTTCCACATTCTATGCGCAATAGAAACGTCATATAATTCTTTTAAAGCATTCTCATTTCGTTGTTTGGTTTTCCTTCCCAAATTTGAAACAGTTTTTATAAGGTCAATCAATTTTTTATTTTTGTAGAATAAAGTTACAAAAAACTACACAAAGCGTATCAATTTCAGTATCAATTCGCACCCAAAGTTGAATTTATTTTCATCATCGGTATAATTCAAAGTGAATCATTTCAGGTGGTAAAAAAACACTCCAGCATTTTCCTGGAAATAAATAATTCCTTTACTGTTTTAACCTCAGAACCATAATTTCCGTAAAATTGTGTTCACTTTCTTGTGCACGTATGTGTGTGTGTGTGTACGGAGTAATATACGTAGAATACATTAAGGTATGTAATGCTGTGAAATTCTATTTCGAGATTTCAATGGAAATCATTTGGAACTCCTCTGATACCTTTGAAATAGATTTCTTTAAACGGTTGTGTCTGTCAGCAATTTTGAAAATAATTCTTTGAATTTTGGTGGTATAATTTCTTTCTGGTTTCTTAAAAACTCAAATTTTTTCGGTGAAAAAGAGTTGAATTTACGCAATTTTAGAAAAGCTTAAACGACATTTCCTCGAAATAGGCTGAAAATGTTTTAATGAAAATGTGCGTATGTAACCAGATTTACCTCTTCTACAATATTCTTAATCACATTTCAATTCTATTATTAGAGGGCTGAAAAATTCGAGGAACTTCTTCCGAAATCATTTTAAGCAATTATTGTGCAAATACAAATGCAATTATACGCCCGTGATATAAATATTAACAACGCGAGGTATGTTTAAAAAATATATTTGAATAATTGTTGAAAAATCAAAACAAGACATCTAAACATTTTGTCATGTTTTTCATTTCCCATTATTCAGCCAATTTTTCCTCACTTTCCCAATTTGAATGTTACTAAAAATGATCAATGTTAAACTTATTTTCACAGAAAATTTTTGATTTCGAAAATCTTCATCAGAAACCATTTGAAGCACTTGTATTCACAAAAGCAATAATGTATAAAATGCTATTAATGTATTGGTAGTTCCGGCCAGACACTCAAAATTGTGCCAATAATATGATTATGGCAGAGAGTAGTGTGAAGTTGCTGCAATATTTGAAATTGAGGCGTGATGAAGTTTTTCCTAATAATCCAGAAACGATTGGATGGCGTATATGGGGAAGCCTCTCCCTCATACTCCACCGTAAGAGAATGGACCAAGTAGGTCCGCCGGGGTAGAGTCCGTTGAAGACGAACCTCGTCATGGTCGGCCATTGGACTATGGAAAATGTGGGGAAGAAGAACTGCTCTATGATAGACGTCTAAAACTTAAAGAATCCAGTGCAAGGCTGCAACTTTCAGAATCAACTGTTTTCCGATCACGAAAAGCTTCTTAAGAGAAAAGTCAGCGTGACGTGATGGGTGCCGTGACTTCTGTCCTCCGTCCAAACAAAGCAACGAGTGACATGTTCCCGACAGTTTTTACAGCTCTATCAAGTGAATGAAAAAAAGAATCCATTGTCACTGGAGATAAAACGGTTCTCTTTGAAATCGAGAGTCGATGGAGTGGCGCAAACCTAGCGAAGCACCAGAAAGAAAGGCAAAGGTGGCCCAGTCCGGAAAGAAGATCATGGCAACAATATTTTGGAATTGCAAGTGGGATTCTCTTAATACCCTTTCAGAAAAGGAACACCGCCGTCAATGCAGTATATTCTTCTCCCCTTTTGCACAATCTCCGAAGCGCAACAAAAGAAAAGAGACGAGAGATGTTGAGCTGTATTTGGTTACCGCATAGCAATGCTCCAGTTTACACGCCTGTTGGCGCCAAAGTTGCATTGAAAGATTGTGGCTTCAAGAAGATTCAGCATCTACCCTACAGCCCAGATCTTGCGTCAAGTGATTTTACCTCTTCTCAAAGCTAAAGAAAGAACTTTGATGACGCAGTTTTAAGCCATTTTGCAATGATAATGACTATTTTTTCAAAAGTTTATATATATATATATATATAAATTTATATTGAAAAGTAGCACTGCAGTTTTCTTTCTATTGTCTGCGAAACTTCGACGGGCCGGAAACTTATGGAATTACCTACATAAATATTAACGATGTGAGATGTATAAAAAATAACATTTGTGCAACTTTTAAAAAATCAAAAAAATACATCAAAATGACAAAGTCATGTAACAGGTGCAATTATTACTCTCCGTACAAAAAAATTAGAGAAAAAAATTGGAGCCGTTTTCGAGAAATTCCTGTTTTTAACATTTCCCCTTATTTCAATAAAAAACTTTAATTGTGGAAAACGTTTTTTAAAGAAAAAATCTTATAAGTAATAAATCACGAGGGGGGGCAACATTTACAGTTTTCAGCTTCAAAATTTCAAGAGCTTCAAATTTCGAATTTACAGTAACGTTTAAACACCATTTTCTTAATAACGGCTGTACATTATTCAACGAAAAGTTCAATATAGTATGGGGTATTACCTTCTTTTAATGTCTGAAAGTAATAATTAGATTAAACTATTAGGAAATCAAAAATTAGAAAAAATTTTAAAAAGTACTTTGGGCGGAGAAAGTTGGCAACTGGCAAGAGAATGTGGCAAGTCCGAATAGCTAGCCGAGACCAAAGGAAACAGAAAACTAATAGGGAAAGTCTGTGTATACGTAAGCTTCCGCGGCTCGAATCCATGAATTCTTGGCTATCCGGGAGACGCCGCGTCGTTGGCTGGGATGCCGACGTTTCGCCTGACATGTTGCAGGCTTCCTCGCCCTGAGGAAGGCGTCTCCCGGATAGCCGAGCAACGGTGCGGCGTCTCCCGGATAGCCGAGAATTCAGGGAAAGTCTGTGCCATTCTGTAGCACCGCTAGATACTATCCCGTATACGTATGTATATACGGAGTAATATTAGTAGAATAGAGAAAATTATGTAATGCTGCGGAAAATCGATTTCGACTTCGACGGAAATACGCGTTTTGAGGTCCCCTGATACCGAAAAAGTGTTTTTTTTTTTTTTCAAAACTTCCAACGCTTCCTTACATATATTTGAAGTAATTATTCAATATTCTTTTACCGTTAGCTTTTCGCTTTTTACTCTTGAGAAAACAACTTGAATGAAAGCGAAGGCTTCCGCGGCCGGAGTTAGGGTTTAATTGGCTGTCCGGGTGACGCCGCATCCATGGCAAAGGTGTCGACGTTTCGGTCGCTAATTCTGCGACCTTCCTGCATTACGCCCTGAGAAAGGTCGCAAAATGGCGACCGAAACGTCGGCACCTTTGCCATGGGCGAGGCGTCACCCGGACAGCCAATTAAAAACTTCACTGAACACGCTGGCCTGAAAGTTTTACTGAATCACTGCTGAAAACGAAAATACTGGTACAAGTAAAACACAAACCAAACCTAACAAGACACGTCTTCACTCTTCATTGTTCACCCACATCCCCCCACAATTAGGTTACAGCACTTGTAGACCTCGGCAAACGTTAAATGAATGATTTCACTACACGCATAAGAAACAATCATCGGATTAAAGCAACTATCAATGGTACTTATAGTTGATACAGCGAGAGCAAAGTTTGAATTAATAATTATGCAAATAAACTTCGTCAGACGGCGCAAACCACAGTATACACAGAAAGCGAACAGGAATCTAATCCTTCTAAGCCTGACGTGACAAAGATGGCCACCATCGCCAAGGGTTGAAATATGGAAATATAGGTGGCATTGGTAGTATGAATAAGTGCCCAACCAGCAAATATTTAATAGAATGTCCAAGAATATCTTATCCTTTACATTACGGTGAAGGAAACATTTCTTTGAGGTCTGTGGCCTCAAGATTTCAGTATTTAAGGCCCTAAAACGCTTAGTTTATAAGCTACTTAATGATATAGCTGACAGTGCTGTGAGTTGCATTTCACAGGAATATTTAGATGCCTTTTTTAAACAAATCCTTCATATTCTTACGTCACAGCGCAATTCGTTGCATCTCCGCGAAATTTTCTTTCTTTAAAGACCTCGTTTATACAGATCGGTTGCATGTGAATGTCACTAAAGGTATGTATACTACTGAAATAATAAAGACAATGATAGTTTCTAAATATTTGAAGACCTATTCATTACCTATTACAAATATTATTAAGTAATTCTGGGGTTATGATCTATCTTCGGGTTTTCATCTGCCGTCCATTTAGTAAATTGTTGTACTTTTGTACATCAATATGTCATCTGAAATACCTGAATACAAGTGAAACCTACCACCAAAAAATGTGTTCTTAGATAAATCAAGTTGAAATAGATTCAGTTAAAATTTTTGTACTCAATGCCTTTTGCTAAGAGATTAAACTTGTATCTTGTAACATGCTTTAATATCCAATATTACTTTTGCATAGTAAGGACAAAAAAAATTAGGTTTTAAGATGATTTTTTTCCTGTACATTTTTACAATAATTTAGTAAATCCAAATTTCTGAACTCTAATGATGATGCTAATCGAAAGAATAGGCAATATATGATTAGTACAGTAAGTAATTAAAAAACATCCAAAATGGGCATTAAGAGTTTCTCTTGCATACAAGTGATATGTACCAAGGTAGAATATTCAAGGTGTTTGTGTGTTGCATACTCTGATTGTTGTCCTTTACACAATCTTGGCGAACAACGATATCATGACAATGGATATCAATAAATTGATATATGCACATTTATAATTAAGAATTTTTAGAACATTTGTTAATTTCGGGGCTACAACAGACATATTTAAGACTCATATCTGTTTTAATTTGTGCATTATTAAGTTATTTTATAACAGTAATATAGTAATTTTTATTAACTTATTTAATAAGACTCATATTAAAAAGTAAACCTATTAAATGTCAGTAATTATACAAACATTTATGTATTTTGTAGCTTAATATATGTAGTAGAGAACTTGATTGAATGAATTGTTTTTGTGGATAAGAATGTGCAAATGAAAGTTCCGTATTCATTTGTAAAAATTATCAACAATTTTCATTCATATTATATCACTTCAGTTACAGTTTTTACTATGTGAAATTTCACGGCCATGATTTGATGGTTGGCATGTTGTTTTGATAATGAGACAATATTAAAGAAGTAATGGTCACTAGGTGTATATTGACTATTTTCTAAATTCATGAATTCAATATTCATGTGTTTGGTCTACAGCAAAAAAGTGGATTTGTATGTATTATTACTTATATTGTTTTTGTAAAAATTGAATTAAGTTATTTATATTTAGTAAGTCTAAGTATTGTATATTTACATAATTTATCAATAAACATTGTGTACATGAAATAGCCTTTAATTTTGCACTTCCTTCTCTAAAATGTCCTTCACAGACTTAGAATTCAAAATCCTATTATTGGCTTCTAAACTGTCTTGCGCATTAATTTTTAGGTAAATTACATTCTATTTAGTATATAACTATGTCCACCATATTGAAAAATTACTAGATAATGTAATTTCAAATATCCCTGTTCATGTCTGCCATCCATGTGAATAGGTTAGACTGCCTTTCGGCGCTTATTGGCCACTGCCAGCGAAGAGTTTTTTTTTCTTTTTATTCGTCATTTCTGTCGGATTGGGGGAAGGGAGGGATCGACTTCCTCCCTTCCACAAAAATAAGGACTTTCGGATGAACATTGACTCTGTTATAAACTCTTTAAAAATGAGGTTCCCGTGAAGGGTAACTGTATTAGTGAGATCCAGATAACATTTTGAAAGTGTTCTTGGCACTGGATGGGAGTGGGGATAAAGGCCACAGAGCTTAGGAGCCCATCCTGGGTACATGCGAGTAATACAATATCCAAACGCATTATGTCGAATAAGTAAGGCCATTTGGCAGCGCCACTGAGAAACGCCAGACTATTTCTTAGGTTGGTTTTCATCAGCCCTGCAGGTGGTAGGTTGGCAAATCCGATATTAAAGTATTATCCCACTGTATTAACCATTATGGACAGAACTACTTTTCTTTCACTATTTTTGTGCTCAACTTAATAAATAAAATTTATATGGATATATTTATATTTTAATATTTTAAGACGAAAATCACAAAGTGCACGGGGATAGGGCTTTTTCTTCAAGTATTCATCAATTTCACAAGTAAATCAAAGATATAGAATTCTTTCTGAATAGATGCCAAACTCCATTTTCTGATCAATAATTAAAAAGTTCATTATTCGCTATCTCTAAATTTCTATAAAAACCTTTTCGCCTACACAAATAGTCAATGAACTTCTGGGAAGCATTCCCAAAAATTCAAAAATTGTTAGAATGTCGATTTTTAATTGCCCAATTTCAATGACTGAAGATGGAGAATGTACATCTCCGCAAAGTTATGATATGTAGCTAATTAGAAAGAATAAGGCGATTGTCAATAAAAAATTATTGGCCCTTACATTTTTGTTATATTATTGAATAGTTCCATGACAATCTATACCTTAATAAATTAAACAAAAGTAAAATATTGTCACAAATATTTTCATTGTATAACAAAAATATTATTCTTTACTTACTGCGACATGGGTTGAGATTTTGTTCGATTGTAGATTCTGTTCTTTTATCTATTTCATCCATATCATTCCCAGGAACATCAAGAGTGCCCATGGATTCCTCGCTCTCTTGATCATATGTTCTTTCACTCTTTGTTACTAAACGTTCCGGTTGCAATGAGTCAAGCTGCTTGGATGGTGATGATGGCAACTCACAGGAAATACGTGCAACCTGTTGCTGTTGGTATTGGTATTGCTGCTGCATCTGCTGTTGGTGTTGGATCTGTTGCTGTAGTTGGTAATTGAGTGGCTGCTGTTGCTGAAGTGGTATCGCCAATGCCAAATTCTCTTTCACATGACCAGACTGTCCACTACCTGCAAACAAGAAAGAAATAATTTGTTATTAAAATGCCACATGAATGGACCGAGGGCTGCAGGTTTAAACCCTGTAGGTGCAATCCGAATCATTTTATAATAGGTTGTAACTGTTGCATTAAAACCTATTACAGAATGATAGTGTTATTATGTAAACACAACAATAGTAAAATAAAGGTCTGTTAAAAAATATTGAGTGTTTATTTTGCTCGTAATATTCAATTTCAGTTACGTATTTTTGTCATTTATATATTTCTTTCCCTTCAGTCTGGAGAAAAATGTATAAGTGAAGTTTTACTGTCTATGTTGAAGTCTAATAAATACATGTTCATATTAGTGGTGGCTTCTCAGGGGAGGAAAGTAAGGAATGTTCTTGCATATTTTCATGTTGATGTATTAAGTAAATAATTTCTTGCTCTGATATTTGATGGAAAATTAACTATTTTTGGTTTCATTAAAATAAGCAATTTAATCTAAAATAACAGAAAACGTTTCGTATTTATGACAAAATTATCAGAAGTGAAAATAGTTGGTAGGAATGTGTTTTTAATATTAATAAAGAGTATAATACACATTTATAGTTAAAATACTTTGCAGTAAAATCAACAAGTCATTAATAAAAAAAGAAGTCAACTGCAGATATTGCAAACTTGAGGAAGACATGCAAACTCTGTTAGGTCTTGTGAGTTCTAAAACTCTAAAGCTAAAAAAAAAAAAGAAGAAAAAGAGGAATAAAGTTTTGTAGATCCCCGTTGAAAAAATTTGTACCCCAATTATACCCATCTTACTATTTTGTTGGATTTCACAGAAAATATTGCACTGTTTAAAAATTTCCAGAACTACACAATTAACACAATGCTGATATAATACTACCTTTGCAATTGAGAGCTATCGCTCAAAACCTAATTTCCCTTCATCCTCTCCTAGTATGGATTTTTCCTTCACCAGAGTAGCATGAACTGCTAGTTTCATGTTTTAGTTACAACGGGAAAACAGTTTTCCCTGAGATTTTCAGTCTAGCAATACAAATGGAATACTTTTCCCTGAGATTTTCAGTCTAGCAATACAAATGGAATACCTTCAGAGGTGAGTGAAAGCTCTGTTCTCTCACTTACTGAGGAAGACAATCTGAGCTGTGGTGATTCCCTTAAATTCATTAGAGCTCCAGCCTGTGAAACGCAAGGGAAGTGTTAAAGAGATGGGTTGATAAGAGGCACTATATGAGTGATCGTGGGCTATTGTGACATTTTGCACAATTGCCGTGAGCAGTGGCTTAAGAAGCAAAATAAGAGGACATAAACACACACATTCACGTGAAAATGCTCCCTAAGACAGAAGAAAAAGACGAAAGAAGAAATCTAAAAAGAATAAAAAAAGGATGCTTCAGATATTGCCTATGGAATCCCATCGATTTTCTTAAGGTCTGAGAAGTTTGTGTCAAAGCAAGCATCTTTTTTATGCAGGAAAAAAAGAAAAACATTGTATTTTCAGACTGCAAACTGTCTTTTCTACCGGTGACTTATCATTGTTTTTGAAATATCGAAGAAAAATGAGAATTTGAAAAGTACGGTGGTAAAATAATTATTGAACATTATATATAAAATATTTCCGTTTTCAATCTTTAACAGAATTTGAGATTTGCAAAGCAATTAACATGAACAAATTTCTGCAACAATAATTATTTTAATTTAATTTACAATCATTTCTAATAATTAATTGATGTCAGACAGATATATTTTTACACTCTTATTGGGGAAGCAGCAAATGGTACTTTGCTCAGTATGGTAAAATCAAATGCAGAGCAATAAAATCATTAAAAATATTGTATTCCTATTTAAATATATCATTCACAGTATTATATATTTTAATTTGAAACAAAGAAATATTTACATGCATTAACATATACACTGCTGCTGTTTTTCCACACACACATCACCCAAACATATTTTAGTTCATACAAACACATTTTGCCTCACTGTGGCCCCTGTCCATCAGTTGACATTGCATGCCATCCTACACATAACTAGCCCACCTTGGCCCTTGTCAACACTTACTGCGATTAAAAATTTATTGAGTAATCGGCTATTTAAAAAAAATCATACCGCCTGGACTGCAGAAGAAAAAACTCTGAAAGCTAAAAGGTTAAACAACTTCTTTACATAGAAATGTATACTCTTCAAAAGAATCATGAATACCGAACAAGAAATGATAATCAGACGACCCTCAGTAATACTTAAAATGCATCTAGAATTTAAATGACAAATTTAAAAACATGTTCAAGGAGCACTCTAATTGGTGAGGGACAAAACATTCAAAACAACTCCAAAACAAATTATTTGAAGTCAGATAGAATGATATTTTCTCAAAAAGACTTGTCAACCTAGAGCTTGTACAGAAATAAATAAGGTTCCTTCTATTATAAATATTTTTATTTTTTCCATGTGCAAAACATGTGAATATGTTCATCATACCACCTGTTAAACAATTTTCTAACTTAACTAGGAGAATTTCAAGTGTACTTACATGAATATTGGTCAACCGCCGGTGCAAATGATGGATCAGGTTCTTTGTTTGTTTCTCTTCCAAAATTTTCAGAGATGGATTCATCCAGTGTAACATCGTCTTTTTTTGCATCCAAAAATGCAATCTCAGAATATAATGGTTCACATTTCACACTTTTTTCTGTGTTTATAAACACCTCAGGATCATTATTCACAGGACTATTCTGATGACCTAATATCTTGTTTTTTGTGCCAAAAACATCCATTTTTGAATATAATGGTTCACGTTTCACACTTATTTCTGAGTTTAGAGCCACATCAGGTTCATTAGGTACAAGATGACTGTTATGATCCTGCAGAGGCATCACCGCGGTATCTGATTGTACCTTGTCACAAGAGTCACTGTCTCTTCCCTGCGGAACACACGAGTCCATCTGTGTAGTATCAGCAGAGACATGTGAAAGGGGGTAAAGATGTGACTGAGAAGAATTTGAGGAGCTGTCTTCTTGATTTGTGCATGTGCCTTCAACATCACAGTCGTCTTCATTAACATCGGATGCACACTGATGGGTATTTCCATTAGCATGGCCACCAATATCAGTTTTCTTCTAAATGAAACAAAAACATTTTGAACATTTTGATTATTAAACATTTTGAATTTCAGTAAAAATGAGGTTAACTAATGATGAACTTACGTCTTTTCGTAGAGAATTATTCAGGCCTTTAATCTGCAGGGACACTGCAAGTTCTAAAAATGCTTCCAACTGGTTTTCTGGAATTTCTGCTTTCCCATAATACACAAAATCAATCACTGTCTTAAGTGTATCAAATAATGTATCTTTGAGAATAATTATTGGATATTTCTCTACTTCCTCACTAAACAGCTTCTAAAAAAGAAAAAAACACATGAAACAAGATCATTTTTCTTTCCTCATACTGTCAAAGAGCTGTTACAAAAGAACATTACATAATAATATTAATAAACAAATTGACTGCCATAAAAGCTAAGCCCCTGGCGCCACCAGGTGGTCAACAGATTGTCTTATTTTAGGCCATGAGAGGCATCTGGTGTCTCTTATGCACTTCAATCTATAACGCTCATGAGCTACTTATGTATCACAGGCAATACTTTTGAAATGTTATACAATGAAGTGGGGCTCACAGATTACTCTGCCATAGTTAGTATTTAGAAAACCATGATGTTGGTGACACAGACAGAAAAGATGAGGTAATTCTGCAGGCAATTGTAATTTCAGCCAAACAAGAGTTAAGAAAAATAAAACAATAGTTAAATGGCCCAACCAAGTGTTTAGGACTATAGGCAGTGGACATCAATATGTTAAAGTAATGTCACAATTCTTCATGATTGAGCTGTTGCATATTTGAAATTTCTAAATTACATGCTGGAATCGTTAAATTGTTTTGATTGTTCAAAGAAGCAACTGGATGTATGCCATGAGATTCTGGTTTGGCAGAGTCAATCAATTCTATGAACATTCAAGACATAATTTACAGCAAAGTAACCAAAATAACTCTTAGTCTGAATGCAAAAATCCTAACTCATACTTATAACGAAAGAATACATACGAGCCGTTCATGAATTATGTAATGCAAATTTGGAGTATTTTGAACACCCCCGTAAAGCTTGTGACCCCCCCCCCGGCCAAAAAATCACAAGCGTTAATGACAAAAACCCTCCATTTAAAAGAATTATACCATCTCGGTCAAAAATTTAAGGATACCCCTAAATTACTGGTAATTCCTTCATGTACTTATATCTTTACTAAATCATACAATCATAGATAGTATCCAAATATTTTCATGTGGATTCAACCTCTCTATTTGTTGAACTGATTTTATTGCAACTTTTCTGTTTTGAAAAGGTGTAAAATGTAGGACAAATTTTAATGTTTGTGGGTTTCGTGGGAAAGGCAAAAAAGCCATTTTTCTAATTCTGATTATGTTCATAATTAGTGCCATTTACCGACACTGATCTCGGTCAAAAGTTTAAGGACAATATAAAAAAACAAAAACTTTGGGTTTAAAAAAAATTTATTTACTTTATTTACAGTTTTTTGAATAATAAAAAATAATAAAGAGATTATTCACAAGGATACAAGGTCCTATGTGTGACTCTGTAATTAAGTTTTCTCCAAGAATATTTATTTTAAAATTTCACATTGAAATTAGAAAAACAAACATTTTTGCAATCTCATAAACCAATTTTCAAGACAGTTTTCCCATTCATTTTCCTCGAGTGCAAAAAGTTCACTTTTGTAGGCATCAACAGATTCTCCAGGCTTGAGGACCTCCTTCCCTGAATACAACTTTTAACTGAAGGGAGCAGAAAATAATCACATGGGGTCATGTCAGGACCATAAGGTGGGGGAGTCATTAGTTCAACCTCTGATGACTCCAGGAACTAAATTGCGAGGTTGGCCATGTGCGCAGATGCATTCTCATGGTGCAGGACGATTCCCTGCAGTTCTGTCTTCGATCGTCGTTCTTGAAGCTTGGCGAAAACTTTTGGTACACATATTGTTTTGTACCACAGAGCAGTAACAGTCTTTGTTCTTCCAGTGGAATAATTGTGACATGGCCACTTTTGGAGAAGAATGTTGCAATCGCTCTTTGAGGCTGCTTAACTGCAGTTTTTTCTGCAACTTTTGTTGGTGGATGTTTTTCAGAAAAATCTGTACAGTAGACTGTAGCTTATCTTCTGGATCGAACTGATAAATTCATGTTTCGTCTCCAGTAACTATATTAGAAACATGCCTAGAGTTACCTCTTTCAAATCTTTTCAACATTTCTTCACACCACTGCACACAGATGGGCTTTTGTGACTCTGTCAAAGTGTGAATCATCCATTGAGATGAGACTTTCATAACTAGAAGATATTCGTGCAGGATTTTGGAAACTGTCAGTGATTGAATCTGTAGGGAACCTTAAAAGTTCTTATATGTCCTACAATTGTTTTCGAGCACTAATTTTCCCACAGCGACCATGTTTTCTCCAGTTCTTGCAGTCACCGAATGCCCACTCTTCTCCTCGTCTTTCAACAAAGTTCAATTAATTCTTGATACCACGAAAAAATTGTCGCATGTGGACGCACAAGGTCCCCAAAGGCACTGCAAATGATCAAGGCTTTCAGATTCATTTAAACTACTTTTAAAGTCATAAAGGATCATTGCATGAAAATGCTCTCTTGTTGGGGTCCATTCTGACAACTGAATGCTGCATCAACTTCTTTAGCAGCTTCTGTATAAGGACATAAAAAAATGCATATTGAGGGGTGTCCTTAAACATTTGACCAAGGCGTGGCAAAAACAATTTTTATTAATTTTATTTGTGTTATATATTAAAATGTATGATAATTAGCAATGGTTCAGGTTGCCCCAGATGTACTGCTGCCTGTAAATACTTTAAAATAAATAAATTAATTAAAATGAGAATAACTGGCCATGCTGACTGCCTGCGCCCAACAATAAGACTGAGGACAGCTTTTAGGAAAAAGGATGCAAAGACTTGACAATTTCTGACATCAAGCCATGCACACAAGGTCAAGGATGACGCATGGGCAAGACTCTATGGTGCCAATTCAAATGGATTCTAGAATACATTATTGATCAGTTTTAATGATTTTCTTTGTAATGTTACAGAACCCCCCCCCCCAAAAAAAAAGGTGAAAAAATATTTCTTTTATAACTAATACCTTTAATTTATTTATATTAAAAAATAATTAGTTAATTTATTTAAAATATATTGAAAAAGGTTTACAAATAAATATCAATGTTAAGTAACACTAAATTAACACCCCCTACCTTTCTGTAACACTGCCTCAACCCTTCCCCCTTTAGCATTAAGAAATTTAGAGAGGACACCATAGATTCATAGAGAAAGTAATGTAACATATCACAAATGAATTGGACAAATACCTAATGCAAAGCCATTAGAAATTAGGAAGACATACGACAAGAAAAAGAAAGAAAATTCTTGGTGTATCATTTTGATTTAATAAAATTCAACTTACACGAAAGTACGGACTACATGCAGACAAAATCAGTCTATGAGCTTTTACACTCTGTCCTTCAGCAGCTATCGTGCAATCCACAAAAGAATTGTTCTCCAGTAAAGTTTTCCACACTGTAGCAAGTTCATTAGCATGGTCATTCCAACTCACGCTCAAAACTGATTCAGCCATGTTCAAATAGCACTGAAACAATTCAAAAAACACATGTTATTGCAGCAAACAATAAAGAATGTTATTCACAGCAGATACATTAAAAGAGCAACTATATAACAATGAATCACTTTTTGAATATTCAGCTATATTGAAAAACATACAATTACATTATAGCATTTCACACTTGTGTTCACGGTAATTTTCTTTAAGCCCGATACAGATAACCCGATCATTATGGGCATTTGGAGTAAATAGATACTAAATATTGCTTTCTTTTTGTTTGTGCATCATTTAACAATCGAAGATGAACATATATGAATTAAATTCATTTATTTATATTATCATTGCCAGATTGAGTGAGATTAGATTTGACAGTGTTAATAAGAGAAGGAGGCGCTTGAAGGCAGATAAATCTGTAGCCATCTACTGGTATATTAGCAATGTTGAATTTCAATGTGCTCAAATTATTTGCTAACCTACTTACTAACTGTTGATGAGCAACTTTTTCCGTACAGAGGTCCAACAGCATTTACTCAGTATACGCCATCAGCAAAATATGAAATAAAGGTGTAGAGAATATGGGATTCTAAAAATTCCTATCCACTAAATGGTCAATTGTACACCAGGAAGACATCATCTGGTAGAGAAGTAAATCAAGATGAAATAGTTCTGAAAGATCTCATCATATTATAAACGATTTGGAAGAAATATTGTTTGCAACTTCTTCACAACTCATCTACTTTCTGAAATGCTGATGTCATAGAGTAAGTCACCTATGAGAATTTCGAAAAGCAATAAGCCTTGTAGAGCAGCAGAGGTATTGTCTTCTTCCTTTTGCAAAGAAAGGTCTTCTCTTTCAGCTTTACCAGAGATAATATAACAATGTGTTTGTATGTGCCAAAGAAGAACACTTTTGTTGATATCAACAATGTATTATGACACTTCTGTATCACAACCTAAGTCAAAACGGAAACAATCCACTTCTACATAAAAAATAAAGGTGTAGAAAATTTTGATGAAATTTGTGCCCACTAGACAGTAAAGAGATGCACTAGAACTTCTATTATATTTTAGATGTGTCTAGCGGCTTACATTTTGTATGAAGAGAAAAATCATTTACAAAAAGGGGTTCATCGGTGGAAGCTATTTCTTCAGGAACTTGGAAAAGAGATGGCAATGCCAGCTCAAATACCCATGCTAACAATCTAGTATGTTCTGTGAAATTTTGCAGAGAATGCATGATTGAAAACAGCTGGTATCTGCTGTCCAAAAAATTTTCAGAGGATTAGATGCATCAGAAAAAATTTCAATACTTGGCGACTGTTTTATCTGCAAATCATAAATACAAAATGAAAGACAAGCAAGAGTTGTGAATAACATAATAAACCAGCATGCGTTGAACATTTAAGAACATACTTGAAGTGTCTTATGTATGGGTAATGTTCCACTTGTGAATGATGAATGAGATAGTAAATAAAATATTGTGTGCATTTATAGAAAAGTCATACCTGTCATTACTTATTTGTAATTAATAAAACCATAGTTCTTAATATCTGGATATTTTATTACACCGAGTATTAGTATATGTCTATTTTCCATCAATGTATGTCATGCATTGGCTGGTAACTGACAGGGTTCAGAGTAGCAATATTTTTGAATCAAAATAAAATTGTAAAAAAGTATTTCTGTTAATACTATATTTTATTTAGCATATATATTTAACAAACTAATTAAATATTTTTGTATTAATTTTGTTGTGGTTTTGTTAGAATATGGCCATATTCATAGTCATCAATTGTTTATTTGATGATTTATTTTATTAAAGTTCTCTGCAGAATTTGAGGACTTGTACACCATCAGACAAGATCTTACTATATCTATCGGGCTGAAAACATAGTTTTGTTATTTTACCCCCCCCCCCCCCAAAAAAAAAAACACACACACACACACACACCATCACTGTGAACCAAACAATAACAATGTCTTTCCACAACTACCACACAATATTATATTTGCCTACTTCTAACTTAGTGGGCAACTACATTAAAAAAATCTAGGAATTCAATCCAATGTGGAACTCATATCTTGAAACTATGAACACAAAATTGGGCAAACTACACTTGTAGAATAATAACAAGGAACCGCATCATCAAAACAGAACAGTGTCCTTTACAATCACATGTTTCTTAAATGCAAAATAATAATTCAGGGTAGGTTCAAAGGAAACCTACAAAAAACAAAACTTAGTCATCAAGACAAAAACAAACACAAAAGTATTTGATTCCTATAGATTTCAATTTTTAAAATCTTTCACTACCTTGTATACTCAAACCTACAGTTCTTGGGTTTGTTAACAAGAACATATCCATTACTGGTTCATCTTAAAAATTTAATTCAAACTTACTCTCAAACTACTCAAGAGAAGCAAATAACTTTCACGAATCACGCTGACAAACACATTAATACCAAAAAAGTACTTTTTCTCCAGGAATACAATTCTTCAACGATTTACCATGACATTCAAGACACATAACAGACTTGCATAAATAAAAAAAATCCAAATAACACTTAATTTCTCACAGAAATTTTTTTATACTGCTTAAGAATTCATCGACACGTAATATGTGCAATTTGATACTAGAATTTGCAGGACTTGAAGTTGAGGTAAACCTGTTCAAAAACTTACTTCCTTCTCCTAAGACAGTTCGAATATGCTTTCCTAAGATCAATCTCATTGCCATCCAGTCGTTATTAACATTGTTATTCTTGATACTGTTAACAAAATATATAACTAAATTGTTTAATAATAATAATAATAGTTGAATATTATAACCAAACTGACTTGTCATACACAACTTTATAAATAATACTAAACAAATATTGTTTTATTATAATAATAATTATTATTTTTATTATTAACATATTCTGTCCACTTTCGAGACATTGAAAACAAAATCTCTTAGTTTTCGATTTATCCCTTGTTCCATGGAACAAATGATCATACGGTCCCTCGCATGCCTTGGCGTTGTTTTAGAACAATTAAAAGAATTAAAATTTACTTCTTCCACTTTAAACTGCAGATAGCACTATTTGAAGAGTATACATACAAAGTACAAAAGTTTGGTTATAAACCAACCTTTAAGAGGACAGCCTTGGCGACATTTCAATAATGCATAGTACTCATCACTAATTATTAGGTGCTCACTCAAATTTCCGCGATGACGCATTAAATCAATTCTTAATAATCAAGTAACATCAGTGGCATGGGAATTAAATCGAAAATAATTTTTTCTGTTTCGAAATAACTTCGCGTCGCACGCAGATCGCATGCTACAGCGTGGTGAAAATATAGTGACACCACAGTATACTGTGGTGACTTGGTATTAATATACTCTCTGGTGGTGACAGTATATAAAAAGCAGAGAGTTTATAGTGTCGTAAAAAACTAGTTTTCGACGATGTACGTATCAGCCAACAAACATTGATGTACACAACGTGAGAGGGAATATCAAATTACTGTCCCTATCTGAGCACAAACCTACTATAATTATTTCCAAAGTTTCTCTGATAATTAAGCAGACGAATTTAAAACATGTACCAGTAAATTGTGTATTAAAGAAAATCCCTATCCCGATTAGGTTTTCGTCCACTTTCCCTGATCCTTGAACAAATGCTGAAATGGCCCCTTGCTTTGCTTCTGGACATAAATGTAACCTCAATGTAACTTCTCCTCTAGCACTTCACACACAGTTTTTAACTATTTTTGACGTAAATAAATAAAAATAAAAGACAAACACTAATCACTAGTAAAATTGTTTTAATATGCTTAAACTTAGTTACATGTACTGCGACTAAAGGTGCTTTAGGACAAATTTTCATGATTAACTGAATTTTCGAAAATTGCACAATTTTTTTTCGGCGTCTTTTAATAACTAGTATAAAATTGAAGATATTCAACAATAATAGTGTTTTGAAAATTGCAAAACATTTTTCTCGAGAACCGTTTCGAAGTACTATGTGTTGGAATACTTGAAGGAATATTGTAGTGTTAACATATTTAAAAGAAACTGACCAAATTTCAAAGTCAACTATTACCAAGCAGTTGTATGTAAGGAAGTTTCAAGTTGGATGACAGGATCTCCCCAACCATCCAGCTCGGGACCTTGAAGTGCCACTATTTAAAAATAGAAGTGTAGTATAGCGGGGATTTTAAATGCAGCCAGAGTCAGATTCTCACTTTGTTACAAGTCATTGAAACAAATATAAACCTTTTTTCTCAGTTTCGTAGCGATTGTGCACAGAAACTGAGAGAAACATGTAGTGGGCGCATTGAAAGTTTGATTCGGCACGCTGCCAAGCAATTCTCAGCACATTTCTGCAGTCTGATTTCAAACGCCAAAATGCAGCGTGCATACACACCGGGCGTGAAATTCGTAAGGAGAACGTTTATTTACGACCAGACGGTAACTTCAATGGTGATAAGTTCTTCAATACTCATTGATTCTTTCGGCAAAATAATGATTTTTTCAATTATGTGTCGTTTCTTCTCCAGAACGCTCTCATCTGATGAGAACATACAAGGCGATGTTCGTTGCAATTTCTACTAATGTTCTCCCAATTCATGTAAGCAATATTTCACAGCCTCAAAAGGGTGTGAATCCCAGGGTGACTCGACTCACCTGATCTTCTGGTTTCATGTCAGCAGCGTGTCGCGGGTTGCTCAGTTCTAAAATTATGATGGGACGCATGCGTGACCGACTTCTCCACGCACCAATGCATTGAAATTAATCGTGATTTGGTTAAAAAGGATTTTAATCCTAGTTTTATATGTGAGATGAGGCCTCCAATTACAGTAGTAATTTTCTTAACCTAACCTTAACTGAATTGCCATGCGCGGCGGCAATGGCAGCCTCCCTCACTCCCCAAAGGGCGGGCGGAGCAGTGGGCGATGTCGTGGCGTCTCGGGCGCTAGCGGCGGCTCCCCCGAGCGTCGGCGGCGTGGCCCAAGGCGGTCGCGCCTCTGCCCGTGACAGGACCTAGCCCGAGTTCGGGCGCCCTGGCAGTCATTTGCCGTACAGTTCCCACCGAGCGGCGATTGTCCAACGTGCGGCCTGGCCCAGACGGCATATGAGCGACCGGCGATGGCAGTATGGCGAGTAGGCGAGGCGTCTCACGGCGGGTGGCGCGGCGTCTAGCGGTGTCGGCATTTATTGACGTAACTGTAAAGTGCCAGTGATATTTTGTGCATGTATGTTATTTTCCAGAAAAGGGTTTATTGTGTAAAGTGTATTAGGTGTGGCATGAAGTGTATTGAATTAATTGTAGGCAATATAAATGTATTAAGTAGGCAGGACAAAGTCTACAGGCATTTAAAATGGCAGATCGTGCAGAATATAGAGGATAGTTGGATTCCGAGCGTGGAAGGTAGTGACGGGGAGGAAAGAAGTGAATTGATAAGGAGTCTGGAAAGAATGCACTTAGAAGAGGGAAAGGAAGTTAACACCCCAACCGCGGATCAGACCGAGTGAACGGAAACCACACCAGGAGTACCGCGAAGGGAGAAGAGCGATGTTGTGGAGAGCATTGTTAGAGAATTTCGCGGAAACCATAGGACAACTGGTTGCGAATCAGGGAAGGCAGATTAGAGAACAAAAGAAAAAGGTACTAGAAGAACAATCGAGGCAGATTAGAGAAGAAATTAAAGAGATACGGGAAGAAAATCGAAGCAGATAGACGAACAATCAAGGCAGATTAGAGAACAAATAAAAGAGGTACGGGAAAAACAATCAAAGTAAATAGAAGAACAATCCAAACGGATAGAAGAACAATCGAAACAAGTTAGAGATGAACAGTCGAAGCAGAAGGAAGAACAATCGCGACAGATCAACCAAATAGCGGCCAAAATTGACATTGACACATTGAACAATAAGCCCAAGTTGTTTGGCTTTGTCAGGAACTGCTTGATCGTTGAGAAGATAAAAACCTTGTCAAATATAATCGGTGATGAATCATGGGCTTTTGGTTGTGACATTGAGACAAAGGTCCAATCGTCCCAGTGGGCGGGTGAAAAGTCCGCCAGACCCAAAAAAGCTCGCCATGTTCGCTCCAAGGTCAAGTTGATGTAGACAGCTTTTTATTCCAATGGAGTTGTTTACCACAACTATGGCCCAGAAGGCTCCACAGTGAATCAAAATTAATATATTGAAATTCTGAAAGTCTGGGGGATGCCATCTACAGGAGAAGGTCTGAAATGTAGAGGAGTGGCGACCGGTTTTTCCATCATGATAACGTTCTAGCCGATTCAGCCCTCAGAACTCGTGATTTTTTGGCCAAACACACGATCACTGTTCTTCCTCATCCTCACTAACCTGACCTTGCTCCTTGTGAGTTTTTCTTGCTCCACAAACTCAAAAACCCTTGAAAGGAAGATATTAGACGATTCCCGAGATTATGGGAAATGCGACGAGGAGCTGGGGGACATTACAAAAGAAGCGTACCAGGACTGTTTCAACAAGTGGCAACACCGTTGGGAGAAATGTGTGCGTTGGAAAGGACAATACTTTGAAGGGGATCCATCTCTAACTTGTAAGGTACATTTTTTTACGTCAGTCCGCGGTTTCCAACAGCCCTTGTGTCTCCCTCTCTCACCTTTTGTATCTGTCTGTCTCCCTCTACATATGCCTTTCTCTGTATCTGCAGCTCTATCGGTCTCTGTCTCTCCGTTTCTGTATATCTGTCCCTCTCTGTTGGTCTATCTCTCTATATATCTGACTCATGACTATCTCTGTCTCTCTCTCTGCGTCTGCCTGTTTATGTCCGGTTGCCTGTCCGTCTGTCTGTTTTAGCCTATATCTGCCCCAGTCTCTCTCAGTCTTTCTGTCTGTCTCTCTCGTCTCTTTCGGCCTCACACTCCCTCTCTTACACGCGCGGCCTCTCTCTCTTTCTCTCATTATCCCCCCACTTTCCGGCTCCCTCTGTCCCACTCTCTCCGTCGCGCACGACCGTCCCGGCTCTCCTGGGTATCACCGGGCTTTACACGGAAACGCAACAATGAAACCCGGGTGTAGTGCAGGTTGAATGGAAATTCAATTAAAATGAATCGCAATTTTTTCTTCAGCGCAATTTATTAGTTACAACTAAATTAACAGCACAAACCTCAGTGAAAAAACACGTATATGTGCCAATTGAAGATCGGTCACATGGTGTCGGAGTATTTTTTCATGAGACACAAGACGTTTTTAAATATACCAACATATAATACATATATATGTATATGTATATATGTATATATGTATATGTGTATATATATATATATATATATATATATATATATATATATTATATATATATATTGTAACCGTTTCTCGTGGTTCGTGAATTGAAAACCAACACAATATTTAAACAATTACGTTTATCAGGGAACAATCGATTACACTAAAATCTAACTTGGTCTATTTACAGATATATTACATTAATTATTTTTCCTTTTACACACGATTCCGTTTCTCTTGATGATTTATTTACACAGTTCAACTCCTTACCCACACTATTTATTTACACAGTTTCTCTTCTTCTACAAGTAATCAGCCAGTCCAATGCACTGTCCACGTCCACTGCACTTCTGACCAAATTCCCTTGCACAGACCACAGTTTCCCTTGCGCAGACCACAATTCCTGCGCAGACCACAATTCCTTGCCCGCAGACCACAACTTCACTGCGCACACCAGGGGTCCACTGCCACTGCTGTTTCCGCCGATGCCCACTTCAACAGCTCAGCTTCCACTGGCACGACTTCACACTGGCCTGACTGCTGTTTTTCCCACTGCACCACTGCTTACCGCGATGCACCCTTCAACAGCTCAGCTGTCCACTGCAGACTTCAGACTGCTGACTGCTATTCAAAAAACGCGCTGCACCCTCTTCACCGCAATGCACATTCACAGCACAGCTTTCCACTTTCGGGAACACACTGACGGACTGACTGCCTTCTCTGCCACTCACTGACGCCTTACTTACCCACTGACTGTCTACTTCACGCTCTTCTACTAACGTGACCTGCGGCCGCCTGCAGCGACGCATTTATACCTGCCCGGCGCTTGTCGTCCGAGGCACCCGGTCACATTCTCGGCGTTTCCCACGGCTCGCGCATAGTCCGGACCGTCTTTCGGTGGGGAGGGAAGGGGCGCCGGCAGATGACGCAATCCACGCGCAGCGAATTCCGGCATGTGATGCAATATTCGTAACTATATATATATATATATATTGACGAACCCCCTCCCCTACTGCAACCATAACTTCCATAGAATCGCCCGTTGGAGTGGTTCGCAGATATCGTGCTCTTGCGAGCTAATAACATCACAGGGCAGTGGGATCTTTGGAGGTGTTGAGAGCCAATACCTCTTTTTTATACATCAGCACCTTTTCTCCATTCTTTTTAGGTTTTGCAAGATTGGATAGAAAAATGTATTTTTTCTGTTTTGAACATCTTTAAAATTTCATTTAATCGGACGTCAACAATATTAAATAACTATTAAAATATAATTTATGCAAAACCCAGTAATTTATATCCCAGCAACAATGGCCAATATGCAACTGTGAAGTCACATTTAAATTTCGTGTGTTGCTGCAACAATTTAACATGAGTTCAGTCAGTACTGGCAATGATTTAAGTATTCTATTGTCTCTGTTGCTGTGTCAGTGTTTTACTATCTGAACCATATTACAACTGGATTTTCTCAAGAATAACACTGTAAAGGTTTAAAAAGGATAAGCACTTGCAGAAGAATTAAAAACGCAATTCCCTGAAACCGTTGGCATCATTGTTCCATGTTCCGTCTGCGGAGTAAATATTGCAATCAATAAAAAGCAAAAAAAAGAAGAAAAAAACAGCACATCCAGTTTAACAAACTTGGAATGACGAACTTTGCAAGTCGAAATCTAAGCACTTACCAACTATCTTCATACATGACTTGCAGAAATGCAGCGGTCATTGAGTGGGTTCAGTGCGGATCTTACCATGGCATTAATCCAGTCAGAAATTGCAATACAGAAGGTAATCAATTCTTCATTATAATCCTTTATTAAGAAGCACATACGAAGATCAATACTGGATGAGAGCACTCTCAGAAAAGAGTACAGTCAATTTATGATAACTTTTTGAAAATAGAAAACAGACATGCAGTGGGACTATTTTCTGATTATACTACTGATGAGCTGCAAAGATGTATTTTGAATATATGTGGGCTTCCATTATCTTGTGAATGGATGAACCCTTTTTTAAGATGTCGAACGAAGACAAATGCCAGTCTAATAATGCAATCATATATACATGTTAACCTTTATCAGATAAGATTTACCAGAAAAAGTTGCATTCGGAACAAACATAGAATTCAAATTCAAGATTGCTATAAAGAGAATGTTTAGCGATATGGTTGTTCTTTGCGAATAGTTAATGTGAGTGTACCATTTAAATACTGCGCTCGTTCATTTCACCTCTTTGTGTTATATTTTTGAAGAATACATATATTTTTTAATTTTCCCAACAACTTGTCGAGCACTCGTGCATCTTCTCTATGAGTATCATGCGTAGACAGGGCACCCGTGAGAATTAGAATAAACCAACTGAACGGGCTCGAGGATGCACCGGTGTTGAAGTCGCCGTGCGTTTTAGGAAATACATGCGCTGCAGTGTCGCGTAGGGTTGAGACACTATATACTATATATATATATAATATATATATATATATATATATATATTATATATATTGCCATCACCAAATTTCATTATATTAATTTAATATTAAGATAGTTTTCTCTACGAAAAGAGAGTAGGTAGCAAGACTTTGCTCTTGTCAGAAAGTATCCTTTTCAGCTGCCCCGCCCGCCCGCCAAATATGGTGCCGTTCGCAGCAGACATTTACAAGACGCCCGCTTGGCGCACGCCCGTCGTCGGCTGCCGATCTGCAGGGATGACCTATCCTCACCCCCCTTCGGGGAGCCCACGCGCACTTAACAAAACAATGACCGCCCGCGTCTTGGCCCGGAGACAGAGCCCGCCCGCCGGCCATCCGCCACGCGCAAGTAATCTCCCTACAACACTTTCGGAAATCTCAGAGGTATTGTTTATAGCTCGCCCGTCGCCGGCTGCCGAAGAATTATGTTTCCGAAAACAAAGCCGCCTGAACACGTGTTCGGGCAGCTACAAGAGATGCTTCCAGAATCAAAGAGAGATCGCCCTGGAAAATTCCAGGAACAGTGCGTCCCGATTGGGTGACATAAAATTGCGACGCATATAGTTTCGGCCTATGAGGCATCTCCCCTTGAGGGAAGGGGCAAAGCTAGGGGTCCTGAGACGTTTCCGGGAGGGGGAAACAGAGGGAGCTCGGCCGGAAGCTGAGTAGAGAGAAACTTAACCCGACAGATTACACTAAAGATTGCACCACAAGACTTTTTCTCGATCGCGACTTATAGAAACATTGCATTACATAACTTTGCCATCGCTCGCGACTTAGGATTACATTACAGAACTTTGCAACCGATCGCGACTGAGAAACATTACATTACTGATCGGGACTTGTAGGAGAAAAAACGTGGCTCTTAGCTAAGACTCGGTGAGTGAGGAACATTGTTAATTTCACCGAACCTAAGACCCACGCAGACTACGCGTCAATCTGCGTTCGCCGCATAGTGCCGTCTCGAGCCTGTGGAAGCCCCACCCCCCAAATAACAATATCGCTTTTTAAATCCCAGGCGCTGCGACATCAGAACGATTGGGGAATATCAGTTTTGGAGAAAATAATCTGAACGGCTTTGTGCTAGCATTGTTCACAGATGGACGGATGGATTGATAGACGTTTTGATGTTAATCGATTTTTCGGATGAAGGATGCACAAAAGGGATTCTGGTTACACGTGTCAGAGGATTTTTTTTACATAATTAGCAACTGGATTTATCCAGTTTTTCGAAACCAGGGCCTGGATTTGGAGTTTGTGTCGAAAATTATTTTGACAACCCTGATTGTTATATTTTCCAATGATTTCTACGTGGTAGAATAGCTAAACAGCATTTCGAACTTAGACTGAATATAATATTAAGTAAAAATTAAGATGACAGTGATTTAACTCAGAATATACTTTAAAACAAATACTATTGTAACGTTTCTTAGTGGTGAATTAAAACACACGTAATATTTTAACAAAGACGTTTATTTTGTTTCTTAATGATACACTAAAATACTTGATTTATTTACAGATAGGATTCACAGTCCTTGTGCTTTCACTCAGTTATTTCCTTACACACGTCTCAGTTCACTTGATTATTTATTTACACTGTTCAATTCTTCTACACTATCGCACAGTCCAATGCACCAACCACTGTTCGATGTACTGTCCACAGTCCTCTGCACCGCCGTTCTCCCACTGTTCACTGCAATGCACACTTCAGTTTCCACTTGAGACATCAGAGTGCATACTCACGCTGACTTGCGGTCGCTGGCAGCGGCGAATTTATACCTGGCTGGCGCCCGTCTGGACTTATCCGGAACTTGCGTCTTACTTCTACGCGACTAACCCGAAACAGTCCAGTTCGGGGAGCGCCTGCGGATGACGCTATCCGCGCAGCGAATCCCGGCAGATGATGCAATATTCGGTATTAAATCCACAAGTTTCCTTGACCCCCCCCTTCCCTACATTAGTTGCGCTAAGAATAAATGATAGCAATGAGAGTTGTAGACAAAATCTGGTCGCGAGGAATGTTCGCTCTCGTGTCTTAAAAAGTATTTGGCATGGAAAAATGAACTACAAATTCAGCGTAAAATTTCTTCCATCAAAATAACCTAACTCCCCATTCCTCTCGCATCTAGCGAAGCGAGGGCTCAAGAAAACGTGCACGGATAATACACTATAGATACAATATGTGACACGGGAGACATTTAAAGCTAGCGACCCAAGAAGCCCGACCTGTCAAATTCATTTTAATATGAAGTACGAAGTGCATAATTTTGAAAAATTTGTATTTTACTTATGTTTTGCAGAATGATTCAAACGATTTTGTGTGTGTGTGTGTGTGTGTATGTACATTGAAATTTGTAGTTAATTTCCAGGTCACGTCACCAGGTTCACTAGTGGGCATCTGTCTCCCATTAATAGTATGAGAAAGGTTCGAAGTGCCGTATGTGATGTATTGTCTCTAAAGTATTTGGTAAAACCAATATTTACGCATTATACATCACATTAGATCCAGGACGTTTTACTTCGATGATTTATGAATGAAAGGGAATTCTTTACATTCGATAAATTGCTTTTTAACACATTTATACGTGACCAGACACGTCATTTAAGTACCATAATTAGAACGGAAATGGGATGGGAATATATCACCTGTTTTATATTTAAAACATCGAGATCGTAAACCTTTTGGTGATACGTGGAAATATCGATGTTTGGAAAAAATCTGGCATTACTAGTCATCATAGACATGATACAGCGATGTACTACTGTGTTGTCAAGGGATATACCAAATCCAGGGAATTGGTAACACACTATGATGTGAATAATCAAATTTTAAAACACTCGAGGGATTAGATACGTTAGAGAGCAGAAATAACGTGATGTAATTGAGTTTCCGAGCACGTCAACTGCTGAGAACATGAGTCCCGTTAATGTACGGAATGTTTATTCCGGGCAGTAGGGGTGGTCCTTCGTCACTGGATCAGAGTTCATTTACTCTTGCAGCTTCACCTTCCACATATATCCTCCCACAGATTTCTCCTTCGTCATATCTCCCGGCCGAGCAAAGCTCCCGACATGTATGTTAGTGTACTGCACGTAACTGTATGTAAAGGTGAGGATAGCATGGAAAAGAAGGAAAGATCGCGCTTAGCCCATGGCCGATTGTAATGGTAGTGCTCCGGCATTCACTTGATATTGATCGGACAAAACATGTTCGCAGAAAACAGCCGCTAGAATGCATCATCACACAACGAACGAATTCAACCCATCCAGGTGTCCAAAACCCATCGGAAATCGAACCCTAGGACTTCTCGGTCGGAGTTGCTGCTGTCAGCGGCAATGCTGGCTTTGATTAGTGGCTCAACAGGTGTGGGTTAGAGAACTAGACAGGGAAAGAAAGTATATTCTCAGTGTGCGGGTCGCGTAATATTTTTAAGTTATTTAGTAATGTTTTATTGCAAGACATTAGATTGTATGTCTGTGTGAAGGGTGGAGCAATGACAGAATAATAAAGATGGAAGGAGTTCTAGGTCACATTGGTGAAGTTATTGAGAGGCTAAATGACTACACTATAAAAGCCGCAAACTTGGCATACTTCTTTTTTTAGTTTGTCAAAAATATTTACATTATTTCCAAAGAGAGGCTCCATTTGCAGCAACACACTTTTGACAACGCTTATAACTCACCCATCAAAACACTTTTCACGGGCGTTATGCGATGTGCTGTGTGAGAACGCTTGTGACTGGTGAGGGCGTTTGACTAGCATGTTTAAGGGCGACGACACACGACGTATGCTTAAGGGCGTTCTCCCATATGAGTGCGCTTGTGACGCGCCAGGTGGGTTGCAAGAATGAAAGATTTTTTGCACACGTCGCATGGATACGAACGTTCTCCCTTGTGACTGCGCTTGTGAACAGCGAGGTTGCTTTTCTGAGTGAAAGTCTTTTCACAAAAGTCGCATGAAAACGGACGCTCTCCCGAGTGAGTGCGCCTGTGTCTTGTGAGGTCACCTGATGCCGTGAAAGCTTTTTCACATACGTCGCATGAATAAGGGCGTTCTCCAGTGTGTAAGCGCTTGTGACGGACCAGTTGGCCCGAAAAAATGAAAGCTTTTTCGCACATGTCGCATTGATAAGGGCGTTCTTTCGAGTGAATGCGCTTATGACGGGCAAGTTTCGATGACGACGAAAAAGCTTTTGCGCACACGCTGCATGGATACGGTCGTTCTCCAGTGTGACTGCGCTTATGAGAGTCGAGGGCGTTTAACTGAGTGAAAGTCTTTTCACATAAGACGCATGAATAAGGGCGTTCTCCCGTGTGGGTGCGCTTGTGGATGGTGAGGTCAGTTGACGTAAAAAATGCCTTTCCACACACATCACATTGATAACGACGTTCTCCCGTGTGAAAGCGCTTGTGAATGGTGAGCTTGCTTGACTCGGTGAATCCCTTTCCACACATGTCGCATGAAAAAGTGGGTTCTCCCGTGTGAATGCGCTTGTGACGGCTGAGGTGGGTTGGGTGAATGTAAGTCTTTCCACACGCATCGCATTTATAAAGACGCTTTCCAGAGTGCGAGCGCATGTGACCGATGAGGGAGCTTGAATGATTGAAAGCCTTTCCACACATATCGCAATGATAGAGGCTCTCTTCTGTGTCAGTGTGCCCATGCGTGGGGCGGTGGGCTGGTTGAGCCAAAGCCTCCTTGCACTCGTCGCGTGCGTAAGGGCGCTCTCCCGTGCGCCTGCTGTTGTGTCTGCCCGACAGAGTGAGAGTCTCTTCGGGCGCAGGCTCCTGCTCCTCCATCGTCCTCTGCCATCGTCCATTTCGCCGCTGCGGCGACAGCTCTTCGTCAGGTAGGATGTACTCTCCGTCTGCACAGCAAACACACGTCACTTAGAAACTCATCTCTCGTCACTTACAGCACACTTCACTTACAAGACCACTTATAGAAATTAGTTCTAGTGTTGTTTCAGTTTTTTTATTAACGATGAAAAGACCCTAATCATATTGCATTATATTTGCCTGAGTCCTTAAAACGCTTTTGCATAGAAATCGAATGATACATTACATTTAGAAATGAAGTAAAGATACGTCAAACGCCCCCCTCTCTCTCCGTCTTCGTCTCTCAGTGTCACTCATTTTGTCTATTTCTCTCTCTCTCTCTATCTCTATCTCTCTCTCTCTCTCTCTCTCTCCTCTCTCTCTCTCTCTCCATCCATTTTTACTTTCTCGCCCTTATGAAGGCATTTCTTAAGACGAAAAGGTTATGCAATGCGGCGGAGGATAACGGCGAATTTTCGGCAGAAAACCTCTTATTGCCGGACCCCAGTAACGAAAAAGTGGATAAATTCACTTGCTAAATTTAAGGAAAAAAATCCTCTAACACCAAGTGTAGCCAGAATTCCTGCTTGTGTGTCCTGGCTACCGAAAAATCGAATGACGGCAATGACGGAATCTGTCCGTCTGTGAACAACGGTAACGGCTAAACCGTTCAGCCGATTTTCTCCAAAATTGATATTCCCCAATAGATCTGGTAGATGGCGTGGCCTCTTGAATTTGAAACTGATATTTCCATTTTGGGGAGTACTTAACATGATGCCGCTGGGTATTTACATTCTAATTGTATTGATGTATTTTCTTTCGAGCAATCCAGAAAATTTAATTGAAATTAGCCCAATTACGATTTCTCTCTTAAAAATACGATTTAAATGTAATATGAAACAAAAATTGCCAGCCTTCAGGAAATATCAAATTGGAAAGCAACAATGGCATTCAGCCCTGGCAGCTGTAGTTCTGTGAAATATGCTTCATTGTTGGAACAGTTTTGTTTGATGTAAATCAAAAATTAATTTAGTAGCATAAAACGCAGATGTAATTGTCAAATTTGTGTTCATACTTGCTTGAAAATATTTACTTCTCACACCTACTGTACTACGATTTGTAAAGAGTTTTACCAAAAATGATGACTAAGAGGAGTTAATTCAGAGAGAAATTGCGGTATTAAGTTTTTTAAAGTTTAATTTCTTTTTATTTCCAAAATTAATTTAGAACGTAATATCCGCTCTTCTGGCGCGAGACAGATCGGTTTCCTGTGAATCAGATTAGTTTTATCCTGTGGTCCTGACTTATTTTACCGTCAAAGGAAATTTGGTTCGGTAATCAAAACTGTGTAATCAAAATTTTGGAACTGTAGTTGGTCTGCATTGTAGATATTGTACTGAAATAGTGACACACTTTCTTTTTGTGGTTTCTTATGGTACTTTTCGAAGCACAAACGACCTGTGAACATTAGTAGAAACGGTTCCTGTATACCAGAGTCTCATAAGAATAGTTTAGATTAGAGGAAAGGGAAGAAAATACGCTTTCATAAAATTGGAAACGTTCGAGACTAACAAATTTAGCGCTAAACTAGCACCCTCCCCTTAGCGGAATCATCATCAACACCATCGAGCGATTAACTTTTGGTTTATACAGTAGAGCAACGCGCCACATTTTGCATCACTGTCGCTCTAAGACTTCATTTTTAACCTTGTGGCACTCGTGGCCCAGAGCAAAGTCGCTCTCAAAACTATAAAGTCGAGCAACATGTGTCAATTTAAGAACTGAGAAAGAAAAACACAAATAGAAAAGAAATGAAAGTATATAAATAACTGATAAATTAAAGATATTATTAATTGTGAAGTGATAACAGAGAAAATAAAAATACAGGTTAGCTAACATGTAGGGGGAAAAAATTAGGCTAAAAATTTTTTATTACTAATGCTTAAATATTTAGCTTTTATCTAATCATTCATCAGATGAGGAATGGCATTTACTTTTTCAGTGCCTCTTTGAAAAATGTCTAGCAAATTAACCAGTTTAGATTTTGCAGAACCTTGGAAACTTCCATTTTATGGATCAGATATTACGAGAAGCTCTTTCATGAGATCAATGTTAGTGCCTACTCTCGATTTTTTTCCTTAAAAATTGTTCACTGAACATTCTGTTGTTTTTTTTCTTCTTACTTTTTCGACTTCTTCAGAGAATTGTCCAATAGGGAGATTGCAAGTTTTCATTATATACCTTCCATGAAATAGAATCTTATGGACAGACTTGCAATACCAGTTGGGGATACAATTATCAAGTTTCAATATATTTATCAAAATTATTGAAGTTAATTATTCACCACTGTTTAGGTAGTTTAAATATGGTCTGAAGGTACTCAGTATGACTGATGCCTGAACAAGGTATTTTTACAAAGGCCACCTATGCACAAGAAAAGGTTCTGATGGAGATACTTGGTGCAGAGAGTAGAACTACTGATGCTATAGAATGTCATAGATATAACTATATTAGTTTTCTATTTTCTTTGGTGTCAGCTAGATACACGAACTTGGCACATACTCTAGCCAGCTACTACCGCCCCAAGAATTTTTTGTTGTTGAAATTTTCTCAATTTTTCGGTCCTAATAATAGAATGGAAATATTATTTTAAGAATATTAAAGAACAGTAAAACCTCATCCTAAATTGAAGTTTACTTTCAAACATTTGCAGCTGTTTTTAAGCACTTAAGTGTTACCGTAAACTCAAAACTTTTTTTCACAGGAAATTTATGAGTTTTCAAAAATCTTCCTTTGAAGTCAATTAAAGTATTTTAACTTACAAATACCACACTGTTCACAAATTGCTGGAAATGTGTGTATTAAGGACGTGAGAGATCTTTCAAAAACTTACATTTGAGAAATCTTTTAACAGTCATATTAAATCATGCTATTAGCATTATCTATTTAAAAAGTTTGAAGAATAAATTTGGAGCAGTCAATCAGTCAAAAGGTGGTGTGGATAGCCTTGATAAAAAATGTTCTATATACAGTTCAAATAGTCATATGAACATGTCCATACAGTTTCAATAGTCATATGTTGGCACATGGCTGTTTTCTCTATGATACTGCACTGTCAATGCAAATATTTTGCACCACTGCTACAAACACAACAGTAAAGTGACACAGTTTGACTATGAAAAGGTTGGCCAACTCACTAGTTTTGCCACACGTATGTAGAAGATTACAATTACCAAAAAGTCGTATAACAGAATTATGTTCATTAATGGAGCCCATAATTTCTACACAGATCACAATCAAATGGAAGTGGAATAAACACCGGCAGAACATTTGGATGTAAAATAGACCTGTCATCTATGCCATCCAAAAGTAACTAGTAGTGCTAAAGAATGGCACAGACTTTCTCAAATTAGTTTTCTATTTTCTTTGGTCTGGGCTATTCGAACCTGCCACATAACATGAATCACCACCCAAACTACATTTTTTGAATTTTTATTTTGCTTCCTAATAGGAGAACCAAAACAAAACTTTAAGAATATTAAAGAAGAGTAAAACCGCTCCAAATGGAAAAATTTCATTTAAAAATTTGGAGGTGTTTGAAGAAAATTGAGTTTAAGCATCACTGTATCTGCGAAATTTGAAGCCCTTTTTCACAGAAAATTTTTGGGTTTTTGAAAAAGTCATTTGAAGCACTTTAACTCACAAATGCAAATGCAAAAAATACCCCAGAATGAACAATACATTATAATAGAGAGTTCAATTAGCACAACTGTTAGAAAGTTTAAACAAAAAATTTGGAGCTGTGATTAAGTAAATAGCATTCAAACGTTTCTGAATGTGTGGGATTTTTAGCTCATTGCCACAGAAAACTGATGAGCTTTAGCGAAACTTTCTATGACATTATTTAAAGCTTATGGAATCATATATACAGTAATGCGAACAAATTGGCGCTATTGTAAATATTCACGATGTGAGAAGTTAAAAATAAGAATTTTACATCTTATAGGGTACATTTAGCACTATCCCTCCCAAAAGTTAAAAAGAAAAAATTTGGAGCTGTTTATGAGAATTTTTTTTGTAATTTTTTAAAATAGCACATATGTCAAGCAAATTTGCACAAATACTACAATTTTCAAAAAAATATACATGACCTAAATGAAATAAATAAATATGGAGAACAAATTTTCCTTGAAGGAAAAAATCACTATTTTCAATTTTGTAGTTGTAGGAAGTAGGATGTAGGAAGACGCCGGAAAAAAATTAACTTTTGAAATATTCAAAAATTTAGGGTTAACTCTGAAAATCAATCCCATGCCACCAATATCCATGTATCCACCTCTTTTGTAACAAGAAATTAAAAGAGAAAATTTTAAATATGTGCCAAGGGCTTAATGTAAAGTACCCTAAATTTGAAATAATGTTATTCAGCTCAAGGCTTTGACTCGAGCCCGATCGACAGGAGTTTCTTCAATTTGGAAAAATGCTACATGCAGTATAGTTGCTATTAGTGTTCACCGACAGATGGACAGACAGACGAAAGTTTAAAAAAAAATTTTTTTGGTATCGATTTTCTGCAGCATGACATTACTTTCTTTACACTATGTTTATTGTTCCGTACATAGGAATGTTTACAAGAAAGTTAAAAGAAAGGCATTTTTCTTACGTGTATTATGACAGAAACCAATATGTCCACAGTGGGCTAATAAAATGTGAAGGATAAGATGGAGTTGTAATCACTTGTACTATATAGTGTAGTAATGTAAAGGATCTAAATCTCCCATAATCATTCTACAATAGCAATTGTTAAATTAAAGAATACAATATTAACTGTTTTAGCCTTTAAAGTTCATTTAAGAATCATATGACGCTTAGCTTAATGTTAGATCAATGTCGTTACATTATTTTTTCCAAAAAGTATTAATTTCAGTGAATGATTACGATGTTCTCATGATTTTTTAAGCCTCTGAAAGCTACAACCAATTTTAAATACAACTGAAACCAGTTCACAACAAAAGATCCCTAAATTTGAAACTAGAACACTTGGGGAACACTGAAGAATTTGTCTTTGTTCTTGCCCTTGCACTTCTCAATGTAGTATGTCACACTGCGTAAGTTTTTAATTGTTTTTAACCTTCAATACATAACTAAATCACTGTTAACAACAATGCTTTATCATACACTGTGGTGAAAACTGCAGTTTATCGCTCTTCCGGGTGCCACATTCAAGCTCCTATAGTGTCTACCTTTAGCAAAACCTCTTCACAGAAAATTTAGAAATGCTTTGTTTTTTATCACAAGGTTTGTCACCTCAAGATTAGAAAAGGGAGAGAGACACGTGTTGGTTTGATTTGCCCTAAACTAAGAATATAAGGTTACCACACTCATAAATGCAGAAGTTTTATTTTCAAGCCATAATGGACTACAGGTGTTGATTTTCATTAGTGAATAAATCATACTTACATTAGAGGGCACTCACTCTTTCATTCATTACCACTAAGACAAACGCCATTACCCCAAACGCATATGATTTATCTCAAAGAAATAACACAGACGTCTATATGGAATTGATATTATACAGGAGCAGTAATAATTAATGTTTGGTGGGTACTCAGTGATAACCAAGGCTCGGATTCTGACAATCTAAAAGAGGAAAATAATCTATAAAATAACTTAAAAATAAGGGGAAAAAGACCCAATTAAAAAAAAAAAAATACTTATTCAATGAATTACATAATTATATATTAAATGTATTTATATAAAATTATGTTTAATGTACAGTCTTTATTTCAGGAGGATATGTAATCCTTAGCTTCGATCTTCCAACTGTCAGTTTTGAAAGGTCAAGGAAGTTACTGAAGGTCCATGTAATTTTGAGAGTTTGACAATGAGAAACGATTGCAGAAGTGCATTTTGTTATGAAGTGATGATAAAGTAAAAGCTTTGTTTTAGTGTGTCATTGTATGTTCATGAAATATTCACTAACAAAAAAACATGAAAAGGAAACAAAATGTGTAATAATGACAAAAATGACCCAAAACTCCAAAAATTGATAAATGGTAAACAATGACCCAATAACCATGCATTTCCATCATTTATGTGTCATGATAAACATTCATTTACAAGTTAGCTACATCTAGAGTGCATGAAGGAAAAGATGACATGCTATCAGAATCCGAAACCAGAAGGTAATGAATAAAAAACATATCTTGGGGGTAAAAATATAAATATATATTCCTTTACTTACTGGAGTCTGGGTTGAACTTTTGTTCAAATGGATATTCTATTTCCTCATCCATTTTATCAGCCTCATCTCCAGCCAAATCTTGTGCTCCCATGGATTCTTCACTCTGTATATCTGTTTTTTCACACTTTGGCACCAAATGTTGAGGAGGCAATGAGTCACATTCTTCAGCCAGCTCAGGTGGAGGCAACTCGCAGGGCAGATGAGAAACGTGTTGTCTTTGTTGCAGTGGTATCCCCAAAGCTGAATTTCCAACCTCATGGACAGAACCCCTACCACCTGCAAACAAAAGGAAAGCAATAAGATAAGAGGGAATAAGGGGGGAATACAATTTACCACCCTTCTGGAGAGAAGACATCACAGTCATGAAACAAAGATAAAGTTCTGTGAAGCCAGTATCCCTACTAAGAATGTGCTTCTACGTACTTAATTAGTACAGAAGTAAACCTGCAAAGTCATCAATTTGTAAAAATACATTTAATTCCAGAAAATATTTTCTATCAAACGAAGCTAATATTTGAAACACTATACTGATTCCACTGTGCAATTGAAAATCTTAATCTACATCTACAAAGATACTGTTTCTCAATCAACATTTCCAAAAATATTGGAACTGTGTACTAAGCACTATTGTATGAATATGTAAAACAGATGAAATATGTTACAATATACTTAGTTTTAGTTATTAGGTAGTTTTTCTGACTTTTAACAATTCAAAATAAAATTAATAAAAACTGTAAAATCTTATGTAACTGCAAATTTTCTTTAAGTAAGCAACTCTTCTAACAGCTAAAACTCATTCATTTTGTATCAAGTTCAATTTTTTTTAATAGTAGGAGTAATAGCAGAAAACAATTTTTTATTCATCTAAAAATTTTGTTTTTCACATGTTGTACAGTAAATATATATCAAGGATTTTGGAATTATAAAAAAGAAAATAGTTGGAAGACCTTTGGAGTATTTCATAACTGTAAAACCAGGTTTCACGTTTTTCATGATTTTACATTTTATTTGTATGACATTTCATAAAACTGAGCATTTTACATCTGAGGTACTGTCAAAGGTCAGAAGAATTTTTTTCAATATATCCATAACAAGCTACACATAGAAAATATGCTTCATATAAAGGCTCCAATCAAACTTATGAAAAATGCATAAGAAATACATACTACTACAAAAATTGAATATTTCATAATAATTAGAATTTCAACTTAAATACTACAGTTGACTGTTCATCAAAACGTGGCCATTATTGGACCAGAGGCACTCCACATCAAATCAAACCTTGTTTTGACCTTAGGTTGTTTGAAATTGATTGAAACTTCTTGAATGTGTTCTGGGGGTAACTAAAAGAGCCTTAAATTTTTTTGTTTGAATTTAACTTAATTATTTTGGAATTTATGACACATGAAATTTTCTGAAAAAGCACACGCACTAACAAATTAATATGCTTATTTCTCCTGCTACATTGCTCATAAAGAACTGAGATTAGTCTCAAATAAAAGCTCTGAATTCTGAATGGCATATCTCTGCTACTTCCCATGGGAAAGGGCCTTGTAGTGGAATTGGAAACACCACCAAAAGATAGGCTTCAGGGGCAAGTCTGCAGCAACTTCAGGATCCAATTACAACACCATAGAAATTATTCAAGTAGACAAAAAATGTTAATGGTATTCACTTTATGTCATAATTAAAGAGGTCTGCTAACTTAAAAAAATAGTTGATGTTAAAGATACAAAAAATAAAGAATTTCAATTTATTTAAAATGAATAATTTTAGTACAAATACAATAAAAATACGTGTTATATTTTATAAAATAAAGCTAGTTTGAATTCTTTAGTTAATTTATTACAGAAGATTTGAGGATTTATATATGATTAGGGGTGAATTTTAATGACCTAAAACATTGCCATAAACAATCAATAAAATGATTCTAAAATGTTTAAAAAATGCACTGAAAGCAAAGAAAAATTATGTAAAAAATTTAATGAAAACTAGTTCACATTAACAACTGTTGGAAGCAGCTGTTGGACATGTTACTGTAGTAATCGAGACTGCAATTTTTTGTTCACATGAACTCAGCATGCAAACTTTTGGTTTGGACTGTTGCCAGGCAATTTGTATTTAGTTATCACTAGAGCTAGAAACTTTATGCAAGCATTTAGCCCTGAAACATACCACAAAAATGTTGACGTATGCACAGAAATTGCTCAGGTATGCAGTTTTTAGTCTCGGAAATGTATTTTACAATGACATTACCTGTTTTTGCCACTTAGAGAAATGGAGAATAAGCTAGGGAGGGAGGGAGATGGTTTGGAAAATAGGATGTCTTGCCATGCACAGTTAATCTGAGGATGCCAAAAGAAAAGGTGAGACGTCAAGTCCTGGTGATAAACTGATGACAATAGATAATATTTCGGCGGCATTGGCCATTAGTAGTCTGAAACTCATTGTCCTAAAGAAATTGAAGCAACAAGAAAATTCATAATTGGCATTAATAATTTTTTTTTAAATGGAAGTTTTTGTGTTTTTTTAGGTAAAATGTCGGAAAATATACATAAACATTTTTGTGCCAAAAAGCACTATGCATTATATGCAAACATATTTTGCCACGACATATTCACTATTGAAGTTTCAGGAAAATATGGCCATTAACAGAAAACATGCAATTGCATGAACTTTCAAGCTTTTAGTTATCGCAGAATCTGCCTAACTGATAGTGGTGTCACAGGAATTTTTGATTCCCAACGGCTGAGTGATGAAATTGAATAGGCTACTCTCATAAATATTATTTGAAGCAAGTATCATTAAAATTAAGGTAAAATCGATTAAACCAAAGAAAAATGCTTCAAAAATCATGGAAAAGGTAAAAAATGACTTATTAGTCAAAATTGACGAAAAATGATAAAAGAAGACATACAAATGAGTTATTTCCTTTTATCATAACATAAAATTAATGTCTACACTAAAAGGCTTTGTAAAGTGAAAAGAACAATCATGACATTTTATTCACATCCTCCCCCCCCTATCTATGACACTACATATACTGTTTTGTAATCTTTAATTTCAAATAACTTTGAAGGTGTACAACTTTTATGAAAATAAAAAATACATGTGAGTTGATTTTGGTATTGATTATGGTATTCGAATGGATACAAAATGTTTAAAGAAAAAAACGAAAACATCAAGGCCAATTTTTCGTTTAATTTGTTGTGGAATGACTCTGGTTATTCATTACAAGATGACTCAACCTCTAGCTACATTTTATCAGAAAGATATAAAGGAAAGCAACAGAAAACATGAATTAGTTTACAGTTCATATTATTCGATCAGGCTGTTTTTATACAGGTATAAAAGTATAAAGAGAAAGAAGTTGTCCATAATGCTTTTATACATAGGCAATACCTAATTTACTTATGTTACTTTTGTATTCATTGAGATATTTTACAGAACTTAAATCATTTCAGAAGTTAAACTTTTTTGATGATGATTTTTAAAACATGATTGATTTTTAAAACATTTTCATTATCAAAACCCATCATGTGAATCAATCGTTCTATGACTGCATAAAAAGGTAATATAAAGATCCATATTTAAATCATTTTTATGCTGAGATACGCATTTTTCTGAGTACTGTCATCTGTTTTAGATAATGTGAGGAGAAACTTTATAATTTTCCAAACCAAGTACTTCTACTCTAATTGGTAATGATCTTTTTATTATTTTCAATTTCCAAACTTAGTTTTAAGAAATTCATTTTTCTCTCAATGGTTCTTATCTCAAAGATAAATTGAGATTGAAGTCACTAGGCTGGAAGTTATTAAATATGTTAACTATGTTGTCAATGTTCTTCTCTAATGTTCAAAAAAAGCAAGCATCAACATATCTACATAAGAATAGAATGTCTATGCCCCAAAACATTATACCCCACTCTAAATTTGTCTCTTTTTTTTTTGCTAATTTGTTACACAAAAGAAAAATTTGTTGCTCTACATTTGATCTCGCTATACTGATTCTGCTAATTTGTCATCAAGTTAGCATGACAATTACAAGAAAACCCATATAAATTTTAAAAAAATTTACATAGGAATTTGTCACTTTTTTTTGGCTCTTTAAATAATACCAGAAATGCAAAATTTTGCCAAATTTGTATACTTTGTTGTAGCTCCCAGTAATATTTAGACTTTCGAATGCATGTGCATTTGAAAAAATTATCATGTTTTTACAGCATTATAATAATTTTTCATAATTATATCACATCCTAAGGAAAGATGAGAGTTTTAGACAGTTTATGAGAAACCAATTAGGGTAGAGGCAAAGGATAAGCAGGGGACATGAGAATGAAAGACAAGTTGGACCAGGAACTGTTAACTGTGTTTTACAAGAACTGTGTCTTAGGACACCTGCCCAGACATGAAAAAATCTCAATACACCTGTTGTGAACTTTTTTCAGATATTTTTCAATTGCCCCATCTAGCCTTCACCTGCACCCGAATTGTCCCTCATCATTTCCCATCTGTCATCGACCTTTCCTCGAAACATGTCACCTGTCAGAATTTACCTGCCCTCAGAAAAGGTGCGATGTGATTATGAACTGCCTATCATCCTTCCTTAGTGAATGATTTACTTATACAAATGATTATAAATAGGGGGCAGATTTTAATGAAAAGTCATTTTTCTTTTCACTTTAGAAAAGTGCTGTTTAGTACAGAAACAAAAGGAAATGATCCACTTTTATACATAATTTTTTTGCATTTTTCATCTATTTCAACTAATAAGTAATTTTTCACTTTTCCCTCATTTTTAATACATTTTTCATCGATTTCATTGATTTTAATATCATTTTAATGTTTCTTGTTTCAATTAACGAGATGCAACAAATGTTCTCCACAAAGTTTCTGAGTACCTATACCTGGTAGCCTATAGCCTGGTGGTCTATTTTTTTGCTGAGAAATTGTAATGTCAGACATTGTGAGAATGTAATCTAGTGTCTGTGACGCCTGTGAGCGCCATTGGCGGTCACAATCAAAATCAAAAATATAAAAGCTGAGTTCACTTAAATGAATAGAAGAATTCCCAATTACATCAGTAATATATCCAAAAGCTTGAGCTGTTCATCGGAAGTAGTTTTGATCACATTTTTTTAGTCAGTTTTCTTTGCTTTTAAACATTTTAAGAGCATCATTTTTGGATTACATTATTTGAAGTATGTGAAGACTATAGAAATGAAATTGATAGTGACATAAAAAAGTTAGTCTCAAATCTGATGATTAAAAGAAGTGCAAAAGAGTTGGTAGCTATTTTGACAGAAATTCCTGATCCATTGACAATGTTGTGCACATTTGGAAAATTATAGAAAATGATTTGTCCTGCATTTCAAATTCTTCACAATTAAAAATTTTTGATAGACGTTATGGGCAAACTTATGCCTTAAAGAAACAAGAAAAATAACAAGCATTTGAAAATTTAAAATTAACAACGATGATGTTGGTGTAGAACTCGTAAGAAAAAGTTTGAAATTAGAATTGTGAACTGCTCCTCTTATGGGAACACTTTTAGATCTAACAGTTATGAAAAAACACATCCACAGAGTGGTGGAAAAGTGTGCAAGCCTTGACAAAAAATTTTACAGTATAAGAAATGAACATAGTAAAAGAATATTTATTAGCAGCAGCTTGTATAGTACACAATTTTTCACAATTGGATTTAGTAAAAGTAGGGTACATGGTACACACTTAGAGAAGTGTGGCGGGTGGCAGAGGAGGAGGAGGAGGGGAGTCTTCTAATCCCTCTCACAAATTATGCCACACACTAATAGAAATGCATAAAACTTACAAATATGCGATATCCATCGCTTGCCCTTCATACCCTTTGTCCCTGTCGCATTGTAATGTCAAATTACTTTCGAAGGCAAGTTTTCTCGCTTTGCTAGCCTGGATCCAAATCACGGCGAGGCTCGGCCATCGGCCCTTGCATTCACTATAAACATCTTTGAGTCTACCCACTGCATAATTACCAATTCACTTTTAAAAGAAAGCACTTTACAAAAAAGCCTCCAGAATTCAAACTGTGCAGTTGCACACACATTGCGAAGAAAGAGCACTACAACCTTTGTTTCTCACATTACACGGCCATGATCGCAGCACTATTTATTAACGGAGCTCTGGAAAGATACTAGGGTGAAATTGCTCCCCCTAACTTACGATGTCACGTTCATGACCAATTATGAGCCTCTAGGCCCCGCCACGTTGGATTTGCCCCTGATCGGAGTGACGCGGTTAAATAACTTCCAAAATGTGTGCCGAAAACTAGACTTCAGGCTTGGATTTGTCCAATCAAAACATAGAAGTACCTTTAGATAAGAAAATGCAGCAAAATTGATGTCCCCACATGAACAAACAATTCGTAGAAGCTATTACAGTTCATAGTTGATTAATAAATAAATACTTTAAATATTATAATTTATAATTCTTTTCTTTATCATCTTAAAATTCTTAATCATTCTTCATAAAATTTACAATAAATAATTTTTTTTTATTGAAATCAACTATTTTTTTCATGGATTATTTTATTTAAATGGTGATTTAAAACAATGATATAAATCACTTGATTTAAATCATCAAAACTGTGTTTCCAACAAGACAATTTAACTGTCATTTTATTAATTATAGATCTTCCTTATTATCATAACAATTATGATCACGTAAGTATTACTTAATATGGTTTTCAAATATTGTGGTCCAAGAATCTCATGTTTACTTACAGGAATATTGGTTTAAATCCCGATCAAATGGTGGAGAAGATTTATCATTTAATTCACTCCCAATATTTGCAGACATGGGATCTTCCTGATTTACATCACCTAATATCTTGTTTTTTGTCACTAATAATTCAATTTCAGAATGAAGTGGTTCACGTTTCACACTTATTTCTGTGTTTATCAGCATCTCAGGATTTTTTTGCACTGGACTACTCTGATGAACTGACACTGCGTTTTTTGTTTCTAAATCTTCATATTCAGAACATAATGGTTCACATTTCACATTTATCTCTGTGTTAATAGAAACATTCAAATCATTACGCATTGCACAACTCTCATAATCAGGCTGAGACATCACCACTGCTCTTGATTGCACCATCTTGCAAGCGTCACTGCACCCTTTAACTGGAACTGAAGAATCAGTCTGCATTGTGTCTTTGGAGCCACATGAAAGGTGAAAAAAATGCTTCGCTGAAGTAATGGAGGAGCTGTCTTCTTGACTTGTCCTAGTGCTTCTAATTTCAAAGGTGTCTTGGGTAACACTGGATGGATACTGAAGAGAATTTTCATCAACACTGTTGTCAATACCAGTTTTTCTCTAAAAGAAGAGAAAACAACATTTATTGAAAAAAACTGCATATTAGCAGCTTTGGAGTACTTTTTTGTTATAGATGTACATTAATACATACATCTTTCTTAAAAGAATTATTCAGGCCTTTAATCTGTAGAGACACAGCAAGTTCCAAAAACGCATCAAACTGGTTGGCTGGAATCTCTGCTTTTCCACAGTATACAAATTCTATCACTGTTTTAAGTGTATGAAATAATGTATCTGTGAGAATGACAATTGGATGCGTCTCACTTTCCTCATTAAAAAGCATCTGATGAAAGAAAAGAAAATGCAAGAAATGTACAATTAGGAAGTGGAGAGCGATTATTCTCTGAAACTGCGAGTAGAGTAAAAAAACATAAAATAAGCACAGAAATTATTAAATCTATTCTACATGGACTTTTATGTATTTCCAAATTCATTATTTCCCAGGTTTTCATCAATTGGAATTCAATTTCTCAAGTTTATTTTTGTTTGGAAAAAGAAATTTAAGTAAAATGCATCATATTAATCCTATTGATTTTTAAAAAATATTCTAAGTTGTATCTTAAGGTTAAACAATACAAGTTCAATTAAAGTGAATAAAATTTAACCTAATAAACCATGAATCTGGCCAATTAAACATTTCCAATTTACATAATCTTTAAGCATGTTACACCTCCAATTTTCTTTCAGCATCTTAATGAGTGGCCAAACAAGTTTGATTCTACACCTAGAGGAACATACACTTTAACCATAGCAATGGTATAACATATCATTTCATTTAACATCACATGGGGGGGGATTAATATGAAGTCATTAAAAATAAAATACTGACATTTGGGTTGGAGAAAAGCTTCACTCTTCATTGGTAAGGGGCGAGAGGGGGCGTATTGGGAGGGGGAAGTTTTTTTTCTTCCAGTCAGTTGCCTAATGCTGTGGACTAGAAGAGCACGGGCTTCGCAGTCGAGAGCTTTCTTTTCTAACGGTCGCTCACTTGTTGCTACGCAACGGTGCCTTCCGCGCCTCGGGCTTTGAATTCCTCCTACACAGACTCGTTCCTGGCGTATTTCGATCTGTCGGGGTTTAACTTCATTTTCGGGAGTGGTGGAAGTGCGCTAAAACCCAAAATGGACTTCAACGACCATCAGAACCCGGAAAATTTCGAAAGAGTGAAGGCAGTCCGTTTTGTGCGTTCTCCCCGACGTTCGGCTCCGCAAACACGCCAGCTGCTTGGAATTTCTGACACCACTGTTGACGAATTTCGCATGAAGACCTCATTTCATCCTAAAACTGTGTTGTGCAAGAATTACTGAACGAGTCGATTTTTGTTGCGCGTCAAAATGCATGTGAAATGCTGATTGACACCGCTGCCTGAAGACGCGGTCGTTTTTTTTCGCAGTGACGAGGCTTTCTTACACTTTCCGGCTGCGACAACAAGCAAAACAATGCGTTATTGGGTGTTGGTGTAAATCCGGTGAGCTCACCAGAAGCACTTAATTGTGAAGCGAGTTACGTCTGGTGTGCGATGTCGTAATGGAATATTTGTCCTTATTTTTTTTAAGAAACGAACGCGAGTTACCCGTAGAATGGAGCTCGTTACAGAACATGATCGAGAATTTTTTCTTCCAGACTCGCAGAATGAACGTTAGGAACGTGTGGGTTTCAGCAGATGGAGCGCAGCAACACAGCACGAAGACAGATGAATTGTTGCGACAAATTTCCCGATCCGCCTCATCTCTCTCAGGAGGCGATCTCCAATGGCCGTCACGCTCTCGCAGATTTGACTCCATGCGATTTCTTTTTAATGGGGTTATGTTGAAATCCCTGGTTTATGTCGATCGACCACGGAACCATAGCACACTCCAGAACAACATTCGCGACGCCATTGCCAACATATCGATTGAATATGCTTGCAAAGAGTGGGCTAGAATTTCAAAAATCGACCTTCCATCAGTGTATGAGCAATGGAGATCGGGCCATTGTATCCGATGTCATTTTCAGACTGCATGAAAAAAGGGGATAATTGTATTCTCAAATAAAAAAAATACACAATAACTGAAGTAACTTTTGTTTTTTTTGACGCTTTCAAATAAGTAAGTTTTCTCTTGGCGCACCCTTCCTGTAGTTGGACTAAGATTCAAGTTTGGAGTAATTCGCTAAAGAAGTAGGAATTGCGCGTAATATTTGTTGAGCAAATGTGTTTTAAATAGTATTGTAAATAAAGTAGGGTTGAATCTCGGTATTGGAAAGTAACAATTTAATTATATTTTGGCTTCAAATTAGTGTAATTGTAACAATTGTTGCCAAGCATAGAGGAGAGATACATATATCTGCTACTCTGTCGGCGAACGATAATTGCGAGTCATTGATCCGAATGACAGACATGTTGATTCGTGTCAAGTGCGTGGAAGAAACGTTCAACGCATAGAGTAGAGATATACTCTATTCTATATTAGAGAGTTGTATTCTCATCTATGGTTCACGGGATAAACTGAAGTTGATCGGATAACTCGGGATCATCATCTTGAATTCGGGTTGGTGAAAGCGGCCTTATGTAAATTGCTAGCTCGTTGGTCTCACGCGTATTTCGCGGTCTTCTCGTCGTGGCGCTCAGATGCGCATGATCGCGACGTATGGCTGGCGATCATGCGGCGCGATCGAGAAAGACGCGCATATCACGCAATACGTGAGATCGTGAAGACAAGGACACTCGCGCTAGCGAAATAAAATCAGGGCACCGAACTACGTGTTAATTCTTCGCGCCTAGCGTTAGTACTGCGCTCGAAAGGGCGGAATCCATTAAACTAAGTGGTGGTGGGGGACCGTACCATGGTGGGGGTCATATTTCTCCACCATTAGATGCCCAGTATTTTTTTTTGTACATTCCTTTTGGAGTAATTCTACAATCATTCTAAGATTCAGTAGGAAATATAGGAATATATAATGGCATAGAATGACACAGGATAAAAAACAACTCAATAATGAAAATGAAATGACAGGTTTATTTATTAAAAATTAAAACGGGAAAAACAATTGTAAATTTTCTAAAGAGATATACAAATTCCAGTAATACATTTTATAAATTTGGATTTGGAAATAAATAGAAACATAATTCAGCACAAAAGTAGTTACTTCAATAAATCAAATAATATCTATTATGAAAATACTTGATCTTCGAGTGCTCTGGAAGAAATCTTTTCATGATCAGTATTGAAGTGATTACAATCACTTGCTATTACGAACTACTGGAGGGGAATAAAACTGCTTCGTGAAATCAAAAATTTATAGTATTGAGTATTGCCATTATGTTTACACTGTATTGTAATTCAAGCCTTGCAAAGATTTACTTATTGAAATTGCAATAAAATCATAGTTGCACATGATAAATATTGATTTCCAAAATTAATAATATATCATTTAATGACTATATCGACACAACTTTACTGTCATGACATTACAAGCAATCAAAAATCAGCTTCTATATCACTGCTTAGCAATAAGATTATGTTACATCTTTAAGCCATGGTTTTAATTACTATCTTGGAAAAATTCTTCTTTAATAAGAGTGCAAATCCAAAACATTTTATGGAAAAGCAATGTAAAACAACAATCTTTAAAAGAATTATAAGTTTTAAATACATCTGTACAAATTTGAAAAATGAATAATCTTTCATTTGGCACGATTATTTTAGAATTCAGGAAGCTTTTGGTTTGTATACCAAGTGCAATAGATTAATATCTAAAATGATAGAGTTTGGAATGGAAGTACCGTTTAGTTTCGTACATTAGTCTATTCTTCTTTTCACATTTAAATTTTCAATTAGTTTACACAAAATTATCTTAATTAATTTATTTGATAATTTAAATGTTAAAAATGAATGGATTGTTGCACTAATAATTTCCAATTTTCATTGTTTATTGAATTGGAGTCAAGAAACTAATAAAATTTAAGTAAATATTTGAAAACATTTTAAACTACTGTGCTTCTCTTTCATTACTCAACATTCCATTTCCTAGCAAATCTCAAAGCAGATGCAAGTTGTAGTCTTGCTTTCAGACGTAAGTGGAGCTGAAGTAATTGTGCTTATCATTAAAATGCAATTTATACATTATATAATAAATTATAATTTAAACTGGAGGCAAGTAATTAAATTATTACATAAAGTTTTAATATTGAGTTATTACTGCAAGTGATAAGCTCTCATTGTTTTGCACCTACAAAAGGCTGAAAAATAACTCCATTTTATGTTCAGTGTTTTAAGTGCAAACTACACTAGAATGCAACTTATATTCCAGGGCTTGTGCTACACTTTTAGTATCGAAACAATACACAAAGAAAAACAATAAACTTGCACCAAACAAATTGAAACAACCCATAATTATTCAGAGGGGAAAATTTGTCAGGTTCGTCAGCAATAGATTAAAAATTACCCCCGCCCTGGAGCTTAAAATTGTTTTTCTTCACTACAAGCACTTTTCTCTTAAAATCATCAATGCTATCTCAAGCAACAGAACCAATGAAGTAAAACTACTCGTATTGTATTTCTGTTGTAAATGTAACATTTGTCTGCAATTTTTTTACAAAAAATGGTGCAACATTTCTCTGATAAAATCAGCATAAATCAGGTGTACAATTATACTAAAGAACAAATAAATTAGGCTCCAGGGTCAAACATATAAGAATTCAACCACTTTGTAGCGAGAGCA